AACTCATGAGGATACTTATTAGGTTCAGATATTTGTCATCACAAAATGGTGCCTGTTGGCAGATGGCTGTCCCAGTTGCACCTTTCCCGATGATTCCCATTTGCATGCAAACCAGCATGACATTTCAAACATCGGCCTCATGTGGAAACCACCATCATATTTCTCCTGCTGTTTGCCTATTTTGGCCATAAACCCGAAATCTGCAGCTGTCCAAATGCAATCCCCAGCCGGCCCTCGGCTAATTCCCTCTGCCGTGATTTGCAAACACTTTAAATATGCCAGAGCTGGATGCTCCCGAACTGCACATTCCAGGTCAGGCCTCCCCCTTTGACCAATGCGGTTGGTCGGCAAATTAATGCCTGGCAGTCAAGGATTACGGACTCTTCAGCAAGAAGCCCAAGCTGGGGCTCTCCCATTCATAACTATTTTAATATTTGCATTTCCCCAACGATTGGTAGCAAAGTGCGAAGCCTCCTCCGCTCCTGTGAAGTGAATTTGGGATTTCAATAATTTATTCATATGTGGAAATGCAGGAGGAAGGATCCGAGAGAAACCAGAGAAAGAGGGTTAAGGCTACCCAGGGATATAGCAGGGAGCTGTACTGCCCTTTCATTAACAATACACGATTGAGAAGGGAAATCGGCCACTGGGCACGCCCCCAATTTGTGCAGGAGGCGCAATATCCTTCCGTGTTCGAGGCTGGTCAATTGAATTGAACCGGAAGTGCAGTTTCGGTTTCCGCGGGGAGGAATCGGGATAAATTGAGGTTCAGCGGCGATTAAAGCGCCTCACAGGCAATCGGGTGTTAATACCGGACTCATAATCGGAGATAATTAAATGGATGTCTATTAGGCGGCAAGTATTTTCCCGTTCGATTGCCTTGGCCCGAAATGCAAATGTTGGCCAACTTCTCCGCTACTCGAACATTTTCCATCCCATTTCCCTTTCGCTCTCTACAATCTCGGCAAGCAGGTCAAGTGAAATGCTCTACAAACTTTTCCCAGCATCCAGAGCCTCACATTTTCCCACTCCTAGTCCTAGCTTTTCTTTCGTTTTCCCACAAATACAACACATCAAACACACATCATACAATGAGGCTCCAGGTCGAGAGAAAGTGGAAACTGCGACCCGACTCCTTGGCTTCTCCTACTTGGACACGTTCTAATGCAGATGTTTGTATGTTGTGTAGTGTTTCTGTGGGCATTTGGGTGTGAGGGGGTGAGTACCACGCCCACTGGACCACTAGTCACTCAAATTTATGCAGAACATACCATACCAGCATGGCCGTTCAATTTTTTGACAAATGCTGCCAATTAAATGGAACTCGGTTGACAGGAAATGGATTCCCAGGAAACAGAGGGCTCATATATCGATTCCGATTCGGTTTTGGATTCGGACTGTGGCTTGTGCTGGTCCGCCATGGGGATTTGGCCTTAAATGCTACTCATTTATTTTAACACCCAGCGAGAGTCGAAAGCCCAAAGCTGAAATATAATCCAGATGCACTGAAAAGGAAGATAGGAACTTTAAAAACATAAATTTAAGGAAATCAATGTTAGGCGATGGAAAGTGGAACTTTAACTGTTGAATTGGAAGAAAGATTAAATCATAAAATAATTATCTTTTTATGGCTTATCACTTTTGTTTTCTCACTATGTATAGTAGGTGTTCCGCTGGATATTTTTCTACTTTGAGCTGCCGCCTGTGGCGTAAATATCTGATTGGGCTCCTGCCCACGAAACCCCTACTCCTGCTCCTCACCAATGTTTCCTTGGCTGGGAAACCGAACAAAAGGCACAAGGAAAATGGTGAAAATAATCTCGGGCAGCATGTGGTGGAAAATGGGAGGAGGGAGCTAGGACGACTGCCCTCTTTACGATTGAGGACAAGGTTAAGCATTCGGCAGTAAAATGGCAACTTATTGTTTGGAATTGCTGGGAAAACAAGGGAAAGGTGGCTAGTCCTTTTTTCTTGAGGTTTTCCTCTGGGAAATTCAATTGAGAAGGGGAAGGAGTGTTAGCCGCTGCTGTCAGGAAATATTAAAAATGTTTGACCAATCAAATAGATTATTCCGACTATAGCCTGGACAATTAGTTACCTTATTGATATCTGTGGTCTGCCTTGGGTGCCTTCTGTGTTCAACGCACTTGACCATTATTTTCTCCACTCAGTAACCAATCCACTTGACCTGCTCCTGTTTTCAACATCATGAACTTCTGTGGTTGCTGTGGTCTTCCTGCCAACTTGTCTTCTTGTCCTGGCTTCCACTCAGTTTCCCGTAATTGTCCTTGTCTGCAGCAGCTATCCTTTGTCCTGGGCTTGTGCTCATTTGTGCGGTTTTCTAATAACCGATGGTAATAATTTGTTCATTTTACAGGCGGCTGCAACTTCACATGAAACTATTTAATTTGCTTAAATGAAGAGGTCTAATATCCGAAATTAATATCAAGCTCAGCCGAGCAATCATCTGGGAGGCTTATTAGGGAAACCACTCAGCAGCTCCGATCGATTTAAGTTCGTTTTTTGAGTTTTGTTTCCGATTTGCCCTGAATCGCATTTAAATCGCATTATTTGCAATCTGTTTGAACAGCAAAGGAGAAGCTCAAATGTTTCCGAAAGAGTGCACAAATTTTATCCTCTTGTGCCCAACAAAGCATCAGTTTGCCAAATTTATATAGCTACGTTTTTATTCTGTTTGTCCATCCCGCTCGGCCCCAATCAGCCATAAATAACATAATCCATATAAATATATATGTATGTAGGGAAATGTATGGATGATTTTTTTCCAATTTTTTTTGTTTGTATATTTTGTGAATTTCAACAATTGAAGCTTTGAATGTTTCAGTTGGCAGTCTATATTTCCATTTTCCGCTTTCCAATTCGATTATCCCGGAATTTGTTGCTTTTTTGTGTGTATTCCTGTCCGGTGAGTTCTCCGGAATTTCCTGCTCCTGCTTTGGAAACATTTGAATGTGAATTCATTGAGGTGCCATAAATAAACTTGGCACATAAATCATTTTAGCGGCAACTTAAGGATTCAGAATGGTATTTTCGCCAGCTATCTTCAGTTTCTCAGTTTCACACGCAATATGGAAATAAGAATAAAGAAATGGAAAGTTTTAAGATGATGTAATACCCTATATATTGAAAGTACTCTGTAAATTAAATTCATAAGGTTTTAAGCTTTTTAAAAGCACAGAACAAATCTTACTTGCCGACTAATATTTTCTAAGAAACCTCAAATTTTATGATAATTCATAAAACATATTTACCTTGTTTTTCTCTTCCTAAGCAAAGGATAGCAAGCATATCCTTGGAATCAAGTGTATATAAATTTTCCTGAGGCTAAGGACACCTTGGGGAGAGATTCAAGACGATTGCCGAGACGGGTTAGAGACCAAGACTAATTGGCCAAAAACAATAAAGCTCAACTCTTTTTAAATGATATTCTGCAAAAAAAAAAAAGGACTTCCCTTTCCTTACTCTTTCTCACTCTATTTCCAATACCTTTCTCTTTCACTAGTTGTCTCCTTTGGTCCTGAAGTTTTTGGCTAAATGTTTGCCAGTCCATTTATAAATCCGTGCAGCGTTTGTTGCTGTTCTATGTGCCTTAGGGATTTTCCCCGGACAGGACAAGGCAAATATTGAAACTATAAAGCGTTCGCTTTTCGCTCGTCCCTCTCTTTCGCACCCACTACGCCCATCTCTCTTGCTCTGGCTGGGTATACCCCACAATGTGTGTTGAGTAAATCCTGATATAATCCTAAAAAAGTTTTTGCTGGTGAGTGGGTTAAAAGTAAGAAGAGCAAACTGCGAGTACGAGTACATGGTAGGTAAGCGGCTTATGCCATTAGTTCGAAATCGCTGTTTCGACCCGGAACAGACCACCTGCATACCATCAAAATAGACATACATATATGTATATACCTATATATATCCTATATCCCAATATCTATCGGCGCAGAAGTGGCAAAAGTTTCCCATTGGCATCTGCCAACTCAGGCGGAAAACTTTTTAAGACTCCTTTCCCAAAAGCAGTGGCAGTGGCCACTAATTGGTAGAAGTTCGACGTTCAAAATCAAAAGTTATATGGCGCAGATAATTGGCAACAGGAACGGTTGAAAGTTCGTAGAGGTTTTTTTTTATTTTTGGCAATGGCTTCAGTTGCAGGATCATGGGAATGCAAAGATCTTTAAAAACCATTTTAATGACATTTTTCCTTCTTTAAAGATAGTATAAACTACTTCTTCCTGTTCCTACCTTAAACCCTTTCTGCATCTTATTATGCTTCCAAGAGATATGAACAAAAAAAAATGTTGGAAAGAAGTCTGACTTTATTATGACCCCAGTCTGTACTTCTTAACCCCTGACGGCACCGTTGAGACTGCAGCAGCTTTTTGCCAAGAGCCGCTGAGCCAAAATCAGAAACAGGACCAAGAAGAGAACAACCATTTTTGTCGCAGGCTCCGCCAGGATTTTGACTGCATAAAATATGAAATTAAATTGCAAGCCAACAAAATGGCGCCTGGGAAAATGACAAAAATATGAGACAGAAGTGCGCCACTCGCTCCTATTTTTTCTTTATTTTTTGAATGTTCTTCTACCCAGCTGAATGTCCTTTGGCACTTTGTTTGGGGAATTCTGCCGGCGCCTCCGACTTGATGACTTGCAGCTGTCGCATTTCTTTTCAGACTTTAACAACTGCAGCGAAACGGTTGTTGGCACCTGGTTATCCACCTTGATATATATTTATGCATGTATTTATACGGGTATGCGGATATGACAGCGAATGTTGGCATTTAATTTGACGGCAAATATTGCGGCAGCTCATGGAAAGTTCATCATGTACTGAAGAAAGCCCTAAAATCGGATGGAAATGCAAACCCATTACAAAAAAACCGGAAATAAGTACCCAAAAACTGTTTGTTTAAATCATCCCTTTTAACTTTAGTAGCCTTTGATAAAATTCTTAAATCATTTTCGCATTTAGGAGATATATTTTATTAAATTTTAATAGATGGTCGAACAATGTTTCCGCAAGCTTGGCCTCGGTGTTATATTATCTGCTCTGGTTTTATATTTCTTTATCTATGGATCACATGACACTGTAACCGAAATACGAGATCCATTTTTTGTTAACACCGAAGGATGTCGCATTATATCCATGGATGTGATGAATCATCAAATCGAAAAGTTCACGAACTGGGAGTGGAACCATCCAAAATTTAAACTAAAATGTCCAAAAACTACATGGTTCCGTACTGAAATGGCAAATGGAGACTGGTATTTGAAGTTGAGTCGTGATATCGATGATATTCTGAAGGAATCTGGCCTTACCAACGATTGGGAAATAACCTGCTATTGGCTGAACTTTAAAATACACCGGCGCTGGCGTTCCAAGTTGACCCATCGAACCAGATTCGATCTAGATTTTCCCTACGTTCTGAAGGTCCCCAAAGGAGTCAGGCACTTGCGACTACAGTGTGTGGAAACTGAAACAAACAAAAGTGTCTACAACGACGCCTACTTCTTTATTCAACCACCTCCTGAAGAACTATTGAGAAAACCTCTCCCCAGATTACATTTTTGGGGTAGAAAAGATGAGAAAGAAAGTAACCGGCCTCCCATTTCAGTAATGATTTTGGGTATGGATTCTGTATCCCACTTAAACTTTATCCGACAAATGCCCAAAACTGCCGCTTACATGCGATCGAATATGTCGCATGTGGAGTTCTGGGGCATGAATAAGATCGGTGTCAACACCTACCCAAATCTTATAAGCCTTTTAACAGGTCTCAGTGCCGATGAAGCCAATGGGCTCATATCAGAAGACAAATATATGGATAATTTACCTCTGATTTGGAAAGATTTCAAGAAAGCCGGATACAACACAAGCTTTGGCGAGGATAACGCCAGATTCTCCATGTTCTATTTCGGCCAAAAGGGCTTCGATAATCACACGACAGACCATAATCTCCACGATTTCATGGCCGAATTGCATCTTATAGGGCAATCAAGTTCTTTTCCCCTTACATATTGCATCGGAGACCGCACTTTTCTGGACGTACTGATGGAGATGACGGACCGCATGCTGCCCCACTACCAGAGGTATCCCTTTTTCTCCTTCTATTGGTGGTCCAATGGGTTGCATGAATTTTTCAACTCTCCCCGTCTAATGGACGAAAGATTCCAGCGATTGCTCGGAAGCCTCGACGATAGTGGTGTCACCAATAATACCCTTTTATTTTTTATGTCTGACCATGGAATGCGATGGGGTAAATTTCGACACACATTCCAGGGCATGATCGAGGATAGTCAGCCGCTTTTATCGGTTCTATATCCAAAATGGATGAGGGAGACTTATCCTCAAGCTATCCAGAACCTGCACTCCAATGCTCACAGCTTAATGACCACCTACGACCTGTACGCTACTATGAAGCATGTTCTGGACATCGAATCTCTGCAGGATGAGTCCATTCAGAAAATGTCTAAGGACCTGTGGGACTTAAAAGGCAACCGCACCCCCCGGGCAGTGAGTTTGTTTTTGCCTATACCACCGTGGAGAAACTGTATTTCTTCCCACATAAAAAAAAAGTTCTGTCTCTGCCATCGACAGGTTTCTATTCCACCTACTGATCGAATATCCAAACAGTCCGCTCAGCTTATAGTAGATTCTATAAACAAAATGCTGGAGGAGTATGCAATGTGTATACCCCTGCAGTTGGATTTCATTCTTAGTGTCCATTTCGAAGTCCCCGAAAGGGACTTCAAAAAGAATAACCACATAGAAGCGAGACTATTTAATGAAAATTACATGGATCGGGGTCCCTCAGTTAGACCAACGGAATATAGTGACCTCGATATTATAGTACGATTAAAGACCAAGCCCATGGAGGCGTTTTTTGAGGGTATGACCCGGAAACATGGAACCACAATATCCCGGATTGGAAAGATCATTCGTGTCGGGGACAATAAGAACAAAACCAATGGCTGTATAGCAAATGCTAAGCTGGAACCTTTTTGTCATTGTGGCGTGTAAACAAGTCTGATTTCTAATTTACATGTTCAGTAGAATGAAGGGCATTATTATGAAATAATTTATAACCCATTTTGGTTGTCATTTCTAACATCCTCCTCCTCGATTAGCTTTGGTTGCACTTACGCAGTCTAGTAAAAACTTTTATTCTAAATAAATTAAAATTTAAATTCTGAGATTGATACGGTAAATAAATCAAATTTCGAAACTTTTGTTATTTTTAGAAATTAGTATTGTAATTTTGAAATTGTTAGTAACCTTTGAAAATATTCTTAAATAATTTTTGCATTTAGGTAAAATTTAAAATTTCTTTAAAATATTACCACATGGTGGAAAAATGTTTTCGCAAGCTAGGACTGTGTGTTATATTATCGGCTCTGGTTGTATATTTCTTTATTTATGGAGCACATGACACAGTAACCGAAATACGAGATCCATTCTTTGTTAACACCGACGGATGTCGCATTATATCCATGGATGTGATGAATCATCAAATCGAAAAGTTCACGAACTGGGAGTGGAACCATCCAAAATTTAAACTAAAATGTCCAAAAACTACATGGTTCCGTACTGAAATGGCAAATGGAGACTGGTATTTGAAGTTGAGTCGTGATATCGATGATATTCTGAAGGAATCTGGCCTTACCAACGATTGGGAAATAACCTGCTATTGGCTCAACTTTAAAATACACCGGCGCTGGCGTTCCAAGTTGACCCATCGAACCAGATTCGATCTAGATTTTCCCTATGTTCTGAAGGTCCCCAAAGGAGTCAGGCACTTGCGACTACAGTGTGTGGAAACTGAAACAAACAAGAGTCTCTACAACGACGCCCACTTCTTCATCCAACCAACTCCTGAAAAGCTGTTAAAACCACCTCCCCCCAGATTGAAGTTTTGGGATAAAAGAAATCAGAGACGAAGTGAAATGCCGCCCATTTCAGTAATGATTTTGGGTATAGATTCAGTATCCCACTTAAACTTTCTGCGGCAAATGCCTAAAACTGCCGCTTACATGAGATCAAATATGTCCCATGTGGAGTTCTGGGGCATGAATAAGATCGGTTTGAACACCTACCCGAACCTTATTGCCCTTTTGACAGGTCTCAGTTCCGATGAAGCCAATGGACTTATATCAGAAGACAAATTTATGGATCGCCTACCTTTGATTTGGAAAGACTTCAAGAAAGCTGGCTACAACACTAGTTTTGCGGAAGATCACGCCAGAGTGTCTATGTTCTATTACAAGAAAAAAGGCTTCGATAAACCCACCACTGACCATAATCTCCATGATTTTATGACCGAATTGTATCTTATACGGGAAAACTGTTCACTTGCCCTAACCTATTGCATCGGAGAACGCACTTTCCTGGACGTACTGATGGAGATGACGGACCGCATGCTGCCCCACTACCAGAGGTATCCCTTTTTCTCCTTCTATTGGTGGTCCAATGGGTTGCATGAATTTTTCAACTCTCCCCGTCTAATGGACGAAAGATTCCAGCGATTGCTCGGAAGCCTCGACGATAGTGGTGTCACCAATAATACCCTTATATTCTTCATGTCTGACCATGGAATGCGATGGGGTAAATTTCGACACACATTCCAGGGCATGATCGAGGATAGTCAGCCGCTTTTATCAGTTCTATATCCAAAATGGATGAGGGAGACTTATCCTCAAGCTATCCAGAACCTTCACTCCAATGCTCACAGCTTAATGACCACCTACGACCTGTATGCGACTATGAAGCATGTTCTGGATATCGAATCCCTGCAGGATGAGTCCATTCAGAAAATGTCCGACGACCTGTGGGACTTAAAAGGCAAAAGCACTCCCCGGGCAGTGAGTTTATTTCTGCCTATACCACCGTGGAGAAACTGTAATTCTTCCCACATAAAAAAAAAGTTCTGCCTCTGCCATCGACAGGTTTCCATTCCACCTACTGATCAAATAGCCAAGCAGTCCGCTCAGCTTATACTAGATTCTATAAACAAAATGCTGGAGGAGTATGCAATGTGTATTCCTTTGAAATTGGATTCTATTCTCAGTGCCCATTTCGAAGTCCCCGAAAGGGACCTCAAGAACTCCCACAGACGGGAGGGAAGTCACCTTAATGAAAACTACAGGGATCAGGGTCCCTGGTTTAGAATAAAAAAAAATACTGATCGAGACGTCATTGTGCTATTGAAGACCAAGCCCATGGATGCATTTTTTGAGGGTATGACCCGGAAGCATGGAAACACAATGTCCCTGATTGGAGAGATTATTCGAATCGGGTACGATGGAAATAAAAATGTATGTATAGCGAATGCTAAGCTGGAACCGTTTTGTCATTGTGGCGTGTAGACCTTTCTGATTATTAAATATATGTTTACTCAGTGAGACCTAATATGTATAAATTTTGAAAAATAATAAAATAGATATCCTTATAATAAAAACAAAATGAAAAGTAATCCTTGTTCTATCATAGTAATTCAAATTCTGCCAAGCCTGCAATTTAATATAAATTTTGTTATATTTGAACATGGAAGAAAATATTAATCAGTTGGGAAATATAGTTAAAATCTGATATCAACTTTGTAAATTTTAAATATTTTTCCTCTATTATTTTTAACTGCATTAGAGCCCAAGGGTGCAAAACAATTTGGGCCAGTTTAGGTTTTGTCTCTCTTGTGGTTGGCTTCTGTTGGCAGCAATGTGGCTAAAATATTTTGGCCAAATTCAGATACATTGTGTCTGTGAGTCAAACATCTGGTCTTGGCTTTTGCCCTTTGGTAAGTCGATTATGAAATAAACTAAAATGCGAGTGGGTTGGAGTGCTTTTCAGATGGACTGGCCAGAACTTTGAGTTGAAATTAATTTATCAGCAAAGAGAAAGTTTCAACGTCCTGGTGTACAATGTAAACCTTACAATTTCATATATATTTTCATACAGTTCAGCCGGCGGCAAGAATTGTTATTAAACTTTTGTTTTACTTTGTGGCTTTTGTTGGAAATGAATTAAACATGGCAGAAACACAGACTTGTTGCTTTTGCCCTGTCTGACGAGCCACTCAATTAAGTTGATCAGAATTTATGCCATCGGGGAGGACTGACGAGAGCTGAGAACTGGTTAATGTACCGACTCTTAGGCTATTTATTCAAATTAAGAAAATGCTTGGCTTTTTTTTGGCCATATTTGTCTAAATTATATGGCTTATTTTTTGCACTTTCTTTGGCCCAAATTGCTTGCAGTCAATTTGTTCAAACGCTTGGCTGCCTCGGCCATCACGATAATGTTGATGATGATGGATTTATGTCTGCCATTTGTTTTTAGCCAGCTCCTTTTGGATTTTCACGTTTTTTTTTGCCTTGCCCTGCACTGCTCTACCAGTCCTGACTTTGGCCTTTTGTCGGCTGTCATCGGCAGCAAAGTGAAAAGTGAAGAGTGAAATGTGAGATGCCTGTGCGAAAATGCCATAAATCAATTTTCACAATTCACAAATTGCCCCGTAAAAAATTGACTGACTTTGTAAGAGGAGAATGTATTTTTTCCGAGAATTAATTGAAACGATACAGATACACCGAGGTGGTGTGCGCCTGGCAGTTCACAGGATAAGTCAAGCTTTAAGGTTAAATCCAGTTGGAGTGGCAGGATGTTTAAGACAGCTTTAAGGAATATTTTTAAACAAAAACATGTTTGTTAACCATTACCCCTTATTTTTCTTTTAATTTACCATACATTTCAAACCATAAGTACCAGCGCCATTTGTTTTGACACTTTTTTAATTGATAATAAAGCGGCATAAAAATGCCACAAGTCGCGAATTAATCCGGCTTTAAATATCGCTTAAAGAGCCACGCCCATGGGTGGCACCTAAAAAAAAACTGAACTGCGCCTGCAGGAACATAAAAAGCCAAATTAGCAATGTTTCACATCAAAGTGCACATTAAATCCGAGACGATAATCACACACACAGGCACAAGCTCACGCATACGCACTCACCAACACATACATTGGCCAGACTATAAGGACGACGAGGTCCTTTGCCTTTGCCTTGGTATGCGTAAGGACATACAAAAAACATAATTAACCGCGACCTGACGACACAAACGAGAAAATGCGACAAGAAGGGGAACGTTGGCGGCGACCTACAAAAAGCCGTCGGCCCACAGGGCTTACATTAATGCACTAAAAAAAATTAATTAGGTAAAAAAATATGAAAATCTAAAATATTAAAAAAGAAACCATAATTAAGCTTTCTTTAAATAATGCTATCTTTGTAAACTTGTCTGTATTTTTGAAAGATTGTTGGAAGAATACTATATATTTTTTCCAGTGTTTTGGGCTGCGCACTTGGCCTAACGTTTGGCCCTCCCCACACCCCCTGTCTCCCCTGTGGCATCAGGTTAATGTGACGAACACAGCTGTTGCCTTTCAGGGCCGTTTTGGGAGCTCGGGCGCCGGCAAAGGAGCTTGGGCCGACATTTTTGCAAATTACACGCTTTTGAATATAAAGTACTCGCATAACGCACCCGAGACAGCCAGTCTGTGGCCACTTTTAATGGGCCAACCCCGAGCTGCTGGAGATTTGTTTTGAAATTTATTTGCAAACTCGAGCCTTTTTGGGCACTCAACGAGGAGCTGGGAGGTTAGCAGTCTAGAGTCTAGACAACGCCGCCAAAAATGCCTTTAGGTCAACTCTTTAGCTCACAAATTGCATTTTCCCAACCCTCTATTTTCCCCACCCTGAATAAAAGCCACATCTCTTGGATATCTGAATTGCAATTAAGCCTGATATATGAGGCAAAACTGGTTCAGCTTTGGTTTCGTTTTTGGGAGGGTAACATGGTTTTATGAATTCCCAAAAGCCATTCGAGTGTCTAGTGGGTTGATGGGATCTCTATTTTCGGGGGGACCCAGAGCAAAGTGCCATTTGCAAATCAAATACTGCACCAGAGTACCAAAAACATGAAAATGTTACCGCACCAAAAAAAGAAAAAAACAAGAAATTATGGCCAAAATGGTTGCATGACAATTTGACTTGTGGCAGTTGCCAGTTGGCAAATTTAAGCCTCTTGCAGCAGAGAATGTGGAAAATTATGGCAAAAGCGAAAGCTAAGCTGTGTCGTGTAGAAGAAATTCTATAATGTGGTTTAGGGATTACAGGGCGTATGAGCAATATTATATGTTTTAATGTAAAAAATGTTATTCTTATAAATACCTTCAGTTTTATTACTTGTTCAATAAATTTTATCTAAAAACTTTTAAAACTTTTTCCACTTATGGCCAAACCATCACAAATCACTTTCGAATGCAATTAAATTAAGGAAAATTGCCAAGTGCAGTTTAATCCTTTGGCAAACACATTAAAATGTAGCCAGCAGCTGTTGAATCAGTGGCATTGTTCCCAGGAAAAATTGGTAGGTGGCGGAAGGGGTAGGAAAATTAAGCCAAAAGAAATGAAGAAAGAAATATAAAGAAAAAATGGAAAGGGATGCAGAAAGAAAAGCGAAGCATTTAATGATAATTACAGCGACCATTAGCAATTGTCTGGCGGCAATAATAACAAAGTGAACATAAAAACCAGACTGTGAAATGGGTATGGGGATGAGTTTGATGTTCAAGGATGGTGGGGTGGGTGGGGCCGATCAAGGACGAGGGACGAAAGTGGAGCACAATCCGAGGGACTAGAGCGTGACGCGCTTTTCAATTACCACAGCACCCGGCTCAATCTAATGAATTGTTAAATTATGTAATGAAGCGTGTACTTTAGATAAATGAAAACTAATTAAATTAACTCCACCGAGCAGAGCCAAGAGTGCCAAAGACCAATGCAAACTTTGGCCAAAAAGAAAAAAGAGGATCCCTCTCATCCACATCTCCACCTCCTATACCAACTCAGTTTTCCGGAATGCAATTGAGGCGAATTTAATTTGTGTTGTTTGCAAACATTTTAGTTCCGAAATTGGAAAACTAATTGTTTGCCGCAAACATACAAGCATTCCCATTTGCGTAGGTAAATACGAAAAACCAGATTCGGGTAGTGTTTTCCGGCAATTAGGCACGTTCCATGGCATAAGCTCTTATGGTTCTTATGGTTAATTGCCTTTCACCTCGTACAGGACCAACAACAATGACTTTACCTGCCGACTATTTTATTTTCCACCTGTTTTCCTCTATTCTGCATTTAATGAGTCATTCGATTCGATTTCGAATGGGTCACGTAAAACATTAAAATGAATGAATGACACTTTGGGTGGTTTGAGGTATTATATGTTTGGGTATGGGAGGGAGCATCGTTTGCACATGACAACCAGATGGTAATAAATTCATAGACTAGCAGAAATTAAAGGAGAACCCATTTAAGAACTGGAAAGAGGGCACTAGTTGTTTTTTTAATAAAATTAAATTATTTTGAGATGCTTCTAGTTTCGGAATGGGTATATTTATTGTATAGATCATTTATGCAAATGCCTTTTCCCTTTAAGCCTCGATAAGACCCCACCTCTCACTCAAGACCCCACTTCCTACTTGTTATTCTTGGCCCTTCTGGTTGTTGTTAACTTTTGAGCCTTTCTGTCACCTTTTCGCTTGATCAAATTCAACACATCAAATAACACTTTTCCCCTGCCCTTGACAAAAAAAACCAATTCCACTTCCAGAATGTTTTTGTTGGTACTTAGAAGGAAGTGGGTGCGAGTGTGTGTTGGCCTTTTGCACATTTGGCTGATTTTGAAGTGTGTGCTTAACAATTTTTGAACAACTTTTTTAAATTCCTTAAGCACGTCGACTACAAAACTTTGTGCTCGGGCAAAAAGTAATTTTGATTTTATTAGCTGTGTAGCACCTGACGGCATTCTTTTCTTTCTGCCCTTCCTATCACATCTCGGTTTTCCTTCTTGGCTTTCAATTCAATTTCAGTCAATTGCGTGTTTGGCGAAAAGTTTTCCCACACACACACCTTCGTACATTCACTTTGGACCCGAAATGGAAAGACCGAAAAACACCCGAAGCCCTGAAAATTTTGGCGACAACTTGACAAAGTCAACAGCTTGATGGGCTAAGAGCGCCAAAGGAAAAAAGAAAAGCCTGAAAAAAATAAAGAAAAACACGACAAACAATTTGTTGTTATCGACATTTGCTGTTGTCGATATTTTCCTGTCAAAGCGCCAAAAAAAAAACTGAAAACAAAAGTGATGCGAAAAACTTTCCGGCCAGATGCCAAGTGCTCGGTCAAATGCTAAAGAAAATAAATTTCATTTTTTCCATTAGTTAGAAATTCTCTGAAGAATTCAGGTTTCAAAAGAAAGGTTTTTACCTTCTTGATAGCTTTTTTCTACTAAAATTTATAATAACCTTAAGATTGTAAAAGAATATGTATGAAGAAAATTTAATTTATTTTTTTAACAAAGCGCTTGCTACAAAGTTACAAAATGATTAAAAGTACATAATATGTGATTTTAAAATATATTAGTAAAAACTTGAAAATATATTTTTTATCTGCATTTAATTTGTATTTTGACAAATAAAGTGGCTGTTATCATTGCAATCATAATCTTGCATTTTTTTATTATAAATAAAAACACAATCTTGTTCATTATTTGGCTCCATAACGGGTTGTTTCGAATGCCATTTAAAATAAGTAGGGGATTTTCCAGTAACGGATGAAATGAACTTTCCTTCGTCTTGTATATCATTTATGTCAATCCAGTAGCTGGTGTCGGCCTTGAGATCTTTAATAATGAGGTCCAATTCGTCATCGTTTTCAATGGATGCCAGTTGTCCGCCCATCTCCCGACATTTACTTTCAGCTGTTTTCCAATCCACCAGCATATTTTTTTCAATATAAAAGTGTTTTGAACCTGAGCTTTGGAATTTTATTTTTAGTAATGAGTTCTCAATTTTGGAAAAATGTTCCTCCATTTTATTTTGAAGACTTTTCGTAGCGTTGACTATCTCCTGGAGTTTTTCGGATATTATATTTTCCAGAGCTGCTACCTTCGTCTCTATATCTGACTCCTTCTCTTCAATTCTAGTTAGTCCGACCTGCAGGGTTGTCTGCTTGTCCATCATTGTGCCCAAAGCCACTTGAGTCTGATTGTTGATGGTATTGCACTTATTCCACTCCTCTTGATGGTAACTAATGTGGTTCGCCAATGGCTTCAAAAGTAACAGACAGAACTCGCTACATTGTTTGGGTGGATCCTGAACCTCGCACGCCGTAGACCGTGTGTCCTGGGACTCGCCCAAGGATCCACCAATGAGGAGGATAATACTTAAAATAAACACCGACTCACACATTTGCAATGTCTTTTCTTCGGGAAAGCTTTTACAGAACTGATTTTTATATTCAGTATTCGCTTATTCATTCGCTTATTCGTTGAGCGATATCACTGTTTAATTTTAATATATTGTATATAGAAAAAAAAATAAAGTTTATGATGTTTTATCACCAAATGAAAAATAAATATACTTTGTATACATTTAATATGTATAAAAAAAATGTGTAACTGCCTTTAAATTTAAATGATATGAAAAAAAATTTAAATGATAATGTTTTTTTCTAAGTGTTGCTTATCGACTTTCCTTTATATATTTTTATAAAAAATACAACAAAATATTTACAATAATCACAGAATGAGGCGCAAGACTTAACTAAAGAAAAGGGAAATGAAATTTATATCACTTTTAAGTGCTTCCGCAATTTTTCATTAATTTCAAGTTCATTTTGATAAATTATATTTATTGCTTTCCAATGTGTATAAAATAAGCTTCTTAAGTCTGTATTGAAACAGTAAAAGAACTGTTAATATATTTATAGGACATTTGCATTCCAAAATACGAGCGCTAAGATTAGATCCAAAAACAAAGTTTTCTTTATTACAAAACAAAACCAAGAAGCCTTTACATTTCCTAAGTTTCTAGGTCTCCAACTCCGCTGGCAGTGGATTCCGTTCCTGCCATATCTTCCTCATCCTCCTCAATCAAATAACCGACGATATTGAACTCGGCCTTGAGGCTTTGCTCCCAACGGTTCACAATATCGTCGGTGCATACGCCCATGGAACCACATGCAATATTTAAGACCTGATTGGCATTGCATCCAGCCAGAAGGGAATAAAGACCCTGACTGCCGTACTTATCACGGGCAGGACTCAGATCATAGATTTTTCCATTTAAGGCTGTGTAAACTGGTTGGTCATCTAGCATTCCATTGAAATCGGCCAATTGCCGTAGGCTAAGTGGAAGAACCTTCTCTCCTTCCGGCACAAGTCCATGGCCATCCTTATTATCCGGCTCTTTATTTTCCGATTTGGCACATTCAGTTTGGCCCTCGTTTCCCTTTATTTTGTTAACAATTTGTGACAACTTTGTGGTGACAAAGTAGCCCAACATAAAGGATATCACAAGCTGGCCAAAGGGATTTTTTAAAAGTGGACTCAGCATTTTAACGGCTGCCTCCACATTCGGATTAAGTTCTGAACAAAAATATATGTTTATAAATATAGGTCTTAAAAAAGAAAGTTCTAGAAAACTTACTTGCCATATTAAATGCAGACATCACTTGGTTACTAGGCATTAATGATTATCTACACTTAGACTGAGACGCTGCTCCACAAAACATTTGTAAATGCGATTTGGTGCAGGATTATTCCAGCATTACTTGAATTTTGAAACATTTACTGTCAGACTGAATTTGAACGGAAATTCGCCAGCCATTTGATTACACTCAATTAATTTAAGTTGAGATTAATTTACCAGTGTGTGGAGTTGAAAAAATATTGGCCTAGCAGCCGTTTGAACCACTTCCCGGCATGTTAAGCCACCTGCTGCCGAGCTCGTTTACATGCCTCATATAAATTACATACCGTTCAGGATACGTTAAGGACATAGCTGTGTCGGCGCCATTTGCTATTAACATTAAGGCCAAATGCGATCGTAAAAAATGGCCTGGAAAACGCACTTTCATGCGTGTGTGTCTGATGTCAGTTGCTGTTTTTATCAAATTGGTTGTACTTGGACTTTAATATGACTTAATAAGCTCATTACAATTTTTTGAGCTTTACATACATACATATATGTGTGTGGGTGTGTGTGTGTCTGAAACGAAATGTAATTTCGCGCCATGAGAGTGCTAAGGGAAATATGTGTACACACACACATACCAACTTATATGGTAAATACAGCTGCAGGGCAAGTGGCAGAACGAAGGACTTTTGCTCTGATTTGCGTTGGATTTATCCGATGCTCTATAAAAAATGTAATGCTAGAAGTATTGCTGATAAGTTTATTCAAAAAATATATTTAGATATTTAATTAAATGATAATGAAGCAGTTATCCTTTTTTTTTAACACAGAATATACAAAATAAATCATAAAATATATGCAACTTTTAGGGCTTATACGGATATATAGCATACTTCAGCTTAGATTTTAGTTTTTTAATCCCATCATACCCACTAGATACCCTATTAGAAGAATATCCAACGTAACGTAAAAAGAACCAAGAGAGAAAACTGGCAAGCGTAGCGGGTTTTCGTTTCCGCCTTATGCTCGCATTAAAATTTGCATAACGTTGATTTTGTTGCGAGAACATTACGCATACGCCGCGTGTGACGCTGCCTCAAATTGCTTTGGGCACTCGGTTTGCGGCTGGCTGCTTCCTTTGCCTCTTGTTTGTTGCCTTTGTTATATTTTTTTGTTCTCTCACCAGTTTCCGGTGATTTCTTTTTCACTTATTTTAATATAATAAATTAAAACATATTTCACATGCTGTTCAAATATAATTACATTTCCTTCCAACCGCCACACTTCCTTCCGCTCAGCATTGCCTTGTTTTAATTAAAAATAAAAATCGTATAAATATGGGATTACCAGCAGCAGTAGCACCAGGCGAAAAAAAGTCAACATCGCTTTAAAGTTTCCATAGCTTCTGCTGCCTTGGTGGTTATTAATAAACTTTTCAATTGCCCACCAACTGCGGGGCAGCTGTGTCGTATTAACTTTGTCTGTCGCGCCCCCCATTCTGGCCCTGCCCCCGTAAGCCCTCGTCTTTGACTGTCTCCTGTTTGGCTTATTAGTCCCGCTCTGGTGAAATTTGCTTTGGCAAATGTCGGAAATCCGACTGCCGCAAAAGCAGAAGCAGAAGGAAAAAAAAAACACAACCGCACCCCACAAATTTCAAACCACAAAGTGCCAAAGCCCATAAGCCCAGAAACAACATAAAAAGGCTGAGACGATGATGGGGGGCAAAGCGGATGCTGCTTATTATTCGAGTTAATTAAAGCAAATTTCAAAAGGATTAAATTGCCAGCAGATTTGCTTAGTTTGCTTTTCCGCAGGCCTTTGAATGGAGGCTTTGCAACTTTCCTAATGGTTGAGCCTTGGTAAACTCGGAAAATGTTTGGTTGACTTAAAATTGGCAAAGGGGGTTGTCCTTGAACTTTTTTAAATTAAAAGATATATTTTCTGCCTTTCAAGTTGATACGATTTTATTAACTAACTAGGATTCAAACGGACAGCTCAAACCTTCCTCGACTAAGTATGTCTCTAAATTGAAAAACATTTTTCATTTTATTTTCGACCCACTTTGGCCACAGTTATGCAAAGCCAAAAAACAAGTGCAAAAATTCCAACAACATATTATCAAGCATTTCCAGAGAGCTCACCCCATTTCACCAAAAAACCCCAACTATTCCCCTCAGTGCCCAATGATTTATTCATTGAACTGAGGAGCCAAAGGAAAGCCCCAAAAACAGAAATGGCACCCACATAGTTTTTTGCGGCCCACACGCCGCCCCTTGGTTTTCCGTTTGATGCTGAAATATTTCCCTGCACTAACCATAAATAAAAAAGTACAGCAAAATGTAGTTCATACAAAAAAAAATCAGAGAAAAAACAGAGAAAGAACGGAAATAAAATTCAACAACAATGAAAGCGCATACAAACAAATTGGGCAAGAATAACAACGGCTGAAAAAATATTTCCATGCGACAATTGCAAAAGTGTCAAGGTGCAGCCGGCGCCAGCCACAACAAAAACAAATATTGTAAAAAAATAGATAAAAAGTGAGATAAAAAAGAAACTAGGACAATAAAGCTGGGGTGCCAATTTCTGTAATTTTTTTGTTTTATTTTTTGGTCACCCCACTCAGTCATCACCCACCCAAAAATCGAAAGTTAGCCAACTTTTTGTCCTAAATTCAGAGAACCAGGGATCATTTTTTATGCCTGGCATATTTTTAATGCATTTGGAGCGGTGTGTTTGGTCACTGATAGGCAAATATGAAATGTGGGCGTACATTCAACAGACAAAGTTGCGAGGGGAATGACTGTCATATTTATTGGGGGGCTTTACGAGAAGGCTTTAAAATTGGGATAAGATGACATAAAAATGTAACTTTTATGCCAGTTTTGGAATAAATTACTAAGCAAAACTTACAATTACTCAATATATACAGTTGCAGTGAGAAAGTTAAGACCGATTTTACTGCTCATTTGGCTTTCCAAATAAATCGACAAACTCCACCAAGAATAAGGATTCAAGCAACTGCATTAAATCAATATCTCACTCACTGTCAATCCGATTTGTTTGTCTGTCTAACTGGCAGAGCAAAGTTTTCCTGCATAATTGCGAACGAAGGAAGTGCTGCCGAAATATTAATGAACTCCTGGAAGAACCGAGAAAGGATGGCAGGAAGCCGAAAGCCATAAAGGATATAAATATCATGCACGCCTTCCAAGTTCTCTTCTTAGTTTCGAATTGATGAGAAGAAAAGTTTTGCATGCAAGCTGGATGATTATTTCGCGTTTTCCGCCTATTTTTGCGGCCAAAGTTTCTCATTAGCGATTCGTGTAGAATTTCCGTAAAATAACTCCAAACTCCCAGACCGATGCCAGATTATTAATAACTGAGTTACGTGTGCTTTGTTGGGTGCGTGTAAATATTTGCGCTTTTCTCATTAAATTTCAGATGCGTACATATATCACGCATACGCAGTGGTGTGCACAATTAGTTGCAATTTATACGCCCTTACACGATTACATACATGAGAAGGGACGAGTGAGCGAGCACTCGGCTTAATGATACTTAATGTGTAAATCATTATAATAAATTACATGCACAAGCAATGATAAAAATAATCCACCGCCAAGAATAATACAAATAAACCTGCTCAATCCGCATAATGTGTGCGCTGGCACATGTCGTATACGTAATATGAAGCGCATGGTAAACAGAGGAAAGTCAGGATTTAAGAGCAAAGTCCTTATGCACGCATTAGACATAAAGGCCATAGACATTAGTGCGCATAATGAAAAGCATTTCACCATTTTCACATTTCAGACGAAGATGATGATGGGGGTTAGAAAAACCCAGGACAAAACAACAACCGTAACCGGCAAGTGAAAAAAGTGGAATATTAATACATATATAGAAGACGGAAAACGGAAAACGCTCCACAAGTTATGAAAGCTTCGACACCTAACCATCCTCATGATAATCAGCTGTTCGCCAGCTGTTTGGCTTGACAATGTTTTGGGTAATTTTCCCACAAAATCAGACCTTTTTCGTCCTCAATTGGGAAAAACTTCCCTTGAAAAGAAAAACCCAAACAATTCTCCCAGATGCTGCGTGCGCATGCTGAGGAATTCTCCCACAATCTCTCGCATTCGGCTCTCGGAGATTTTATAGCAAAGCTCCATAAAAATTTATCTGACAACGGACAGCATCCTTTGGACCAGTAGCGGAGTAACTTTGAAGCGTTACGGTTGGTCGCGATTTCGAATCGGAAAAGCCAGGGAATTTCTGGCCCTCAAGAAAACACACATATAGTGTGAACAACGCGTCGGTCCGGACGGTGTGTGTTTACATTGTTTGAAAGCCAATTAAAGTGAGTTTACAGCCAACTTACACCGTATCAACATGGTTCAATTGGATTAAATGTAATTGGTCAAGTGCTATGAAATTCAAACAATATGCAGTGCTTTGGAAATAAACTTAAAGACCTTGCATTCAATAAATATATATATTTCTGGTCGAACCTTTAAGAAACTAAATGCATTTCATTCAATAGTGCATGAAATATTTATAGAAAATTTCATTTTCAACGAACGAAAAGTTTGAGAGCCATTTCCATTCATTAGTTATTCAATTTCAATTTCCGCCATCAATTTAAAGTCAATTTATTTCCCAGAAATAAAACTATTTCAAAGCTTTCATTGGATTTTTATTAAAATTATACGATTTGAGAATTAACTTAATAAAGTAATAGTAGTAGTATGTGAGGAATGTTTCCACAACCTCTTGGTTATCTGCCCCAAAAAGTAGGCAACAGAAAATGCCTTTTTCTCCGCCTCTGCCTTAAAGGATAACATTCTAAATTCCGGCCTTCCCCCCGAAAAAAATTCCACTCTCTGTACAAACAAAGTAAAATTCATGAAAAGCAAACAAAAAGCGACAAAGTGAAATTAACAAAAAAAATAAACACTGTAAGGGACAAGTCGAAAACCCAAGGCCAATGCCTGAAAAAAGGAAAATATAAACTGTGAACCCAAACAAATAATTTGAAATTAAAACTAAAACGAAAATCACAGCTTGGGGAATGAAAGTTGGAGTTGAAATTACATCATTCCAGCGGAAATGGGAGTTCGTTCGGTTGGAGTTTCTACGTGATTTTGCTTTTAAAAACTACATTGAATAATATTTACCGGCAGATGTGCACAGTGTCCTTTCGCCGCTCAGTGGATATTTTCCCACACATTCCCTCCTTCTCCACCAGCCACTGGCTTTCAGCACTTGAACTTTACTTAGCTGCTTGTGGTTCCTTACACCCCCCAGCCATCGTCTTACTCTGGGCTTTCCCGCACAGCTATTTTTTTCTAGCTTAGCTTAGCGCTTCAAGTGCCGCCCAAGAGCTTCGATTTTCCCTCTGAAGGTATGACTGTGGGTGTGTTTTCTTTGAGAAAGTGTGTGTGTGTCGAGGGCTCGGCTGATGTTGTCACCCCGAAAGGAGAACCGTAAGCGCTTCACTTTACATAGCAAAAACTAGAAGATTGTGGAGATTAAGCTCAGCAGCCACCCCGAGGCATTCCGAGTCACCTATCACCCCCAGTGGCCCCAGAGCACACAAAAATAAAAAATTTCCGGGGGATTGCTAATTAAAAAATTGTGTCATTACAATATGTTGGAAAATTAATGGCTTAAAAATTTATTTTTTGGATTCAAGGTAAAATTATTTAAAAAGTAAAAAAGAACCTGGACAAGAAAACTTTAAAAATTTAATAAATAAAATAAAACGCCTTCAGAAAAATGCCTAAAGGCTTGATTAAAAAGAATAGTTTGCTTTAAAATACTCAGGAAACCACTTAAAGAGAACATATCCTGACATATCCTTAAAAAAATGAGATATTTTCTGTCTGTGTATTTTTCTAGCTCGCACCTTCTTCATTCTGTGATTTGTATGCGTTCGCCGCCTTCAACATGGCCCCAGCTAATGTTGGCTTTGGCTTTGCCCTAAGGGCTGCATCTGAAAGGAATGGGCGAAAATGTGGCAAGGGGCGAGTGGCATGGGGTATGGGGCGTGTGGCACGGGACAGGGGGACTGCGGGTGCGAAAGTTGACTCCTTCGACGGCGGGTGCTGTGGCTTCCATACGTTCGGCACTAAAAACGCCGTCGCCATAGCCATAGCCATCCACGAAGCAAGTCTGTGCGTTTGTTGGCGTGTTTGCGGCATAAAAATAAAGATAAATGCGAGTTCTTTACAACGCTGCTCTGAACACTTTGAGTTGGGCGCCACAAAAACCCCCCGTCAGTACCCCGACGCCACTTTCAACCCAAAAACCCAAAGCACTGTGGCCTGCAAGTGTTTGTTTCCAGTGCGTGGAAAAGTTAAGTAAAGTTTGCAAAATAGCAAAATAAGTTCATTTTAAATGGGGGCTCTCTTTGGGGCCAGAAAATATGCTGTCTGCAAAAGAGCTGAAGAATTTCAGAGTTCTGTAGAGGAATGTTTTAAAGGAGGAATTTTGAGGGATTTTATATAAAATAGTTTTGAAATTAAAATGAAAAATAAATAAAAATATTGTTGTAAGTATTGTTCATTAAGAACTAAACTTTAATTTAGATTAAAACTGAAGAATCTCTTATATCGTAATCCCCTTTTGGAATAACTACCTTCAACAACTCTTACTTAACTCAACATCAAATGAGGCAACACTTCAATTAGCCAAAACTGTTTTCCAAACATTTCAAAAACACTGTGCCAGGACACACCTTATTTTACGGTGTGCTTTTGGTGAGATGGGAGGTCAAAGGGTGCTGGGTGGCTAGGTAGGTTGGATTTTCGGGTGGGTGCTATCAAAAAAGCGTCACACGCAGCCCCTCAAAAACTTGTAGATGGAGTTTGTCTAGGACGGGGTATGGGTGGGTGGGTGGTTGTCTGGGAGGAGTGGTTTTAGCCTCTCCCTTTGCGGTTGCGAGTTTTAGATTTCTTCTTCTTTTAGCCATTTTCCTGTGTTTGTGTTTTGGTGTTAGTGTGCGATTGTGTGTGTTTTTGTGTGTGGTAGCCCAAAAATGCGACCAAAGCAAAGTAGGAAAAAAGTAAAAGATGAGGAAAGCATTTCTAAATGTAAGCGGGACTGTAGGAAGCAAAAAAAATGTATAGAAGGAAAGTTGCTTTGCATAGAGCGGAAAATGTTGCTCGCCATGTTTATCTGCAGTTGCCCATCGCTGGCCCAGAGCCCCCAACGCCCACTCTGTTGATATTAGCGCTTGTTTATGGCTCCCAGTGTGTATGTATTTGTGTATTTTTATTTGCACAAGTGTGTGTGTGTGTTTGGCACGCTTCGTCGCATTTTAAATTAAGCTTCATTTTTATTTCTATTTACATTTTGCTCTCTCGCTTCTTCTTTTTTTTTTCTTCGGCAAACAGTTGCAACAGCTGTGGCAGTAGAAGCTGAAGGAGCCGCAGCAGCAAAAAAGTTTTCCCAGACATTCAGTCTCCGCCCAGCCTACCCCTACTCTTCCCTTTAATTTTTTTTATATTTGTTTTTCATTTTCACTTTTATTATTCCAACATTTCTACAATATTTTTGTTGCTTTGTTTGTTTATTTCGGGCTGCTCCAAGTGAAATGTTTGATTTATTTTTTATTTGCCATTGAACGTGTTTATTTATGTGTTTCTCCAGCTTTTACTTTTTTTTTATATTTTCTTGCCACTTCGCTCTTTTACAGGCTCCACTCCATTTCGGCACTTTTTTGGGCTTTTATTTATTTTATCCGCCTCTTTTTTTTATTTGCCATTTTCATATGCCAGCTATTGTAAGCTGCAGTAAATTGGAAAATTTTTAAGTGTTTTTATTTTTCCTGTTTGCGTCCATAAGCCGGCGTAAGATTTGTTTCATTTTGGGAATTAGCTTTGTGAGCATGATTTATGACAGGAAACAGTCTGGCCAGGATGGAAGGAGCTTGAATGCTGATCTCATTCCGGATTACAGAAATGAGTTTTTCTATTTGAATATACAATTATGCGAGGCAGAAATGTTAGGGATTTTGTTTGACTCTGAAATAATCTATTTTATAGCAATATTTTATTTCATTTCTAAAAAGAAAAGTTTTGTAAAAGCCCGTCGCATTAAGGTCACTCTTGAGTTTCAATAGTCCTAGATTTTGATGCAGATTTACGGGAAATAGATCTACAAATCGTTTAAGGTATTCCTCTCAAGAACCCGATGCATATTGACCAAGATATGGCACTCGCATTATGTCATATTTACATACCCCATAAACTGCCCGTTTTTTTCGAGGGACCCCTCAAAAAAATTCATGAAAAATATAAAAAATATTTTGTCCCTAGATTATGATGCAGATTTGTGGAGAATCGATCTAGAAATCGTTTAAGGTATTCCGCTTAAGAATCGAATGGATATTGGCAGAGATATAGGTTTCGCAAGGGGCTAATGGGTGCTCCCATGCATTTTTCGGAATTTCAAAGAGGATGCCCCACAAAATTTGACAAAAAAACTAAAAAATATTTTGTCCATAGATTTTGATGCAGATTTGTGGAGAATCGATCCAGAAATCGTTTAAGGTATTCCGCTTAAGAATCGGATGGATATTGGCAGGTATATAGCCTTCGCAGGGGGCTAATGGGTGCCTCCATGCATTTTTCGGAATTTCGAAGGGGATACTCCACAAAATTTGACAAAAAATCTAAAAAATATTTTGTCCATAGATTTTGATGCAGATTTGTGGAGAATCGATCCAGAAACCGTTTAAGGTATTCCGCTAAAGAGTCGGATGGATATTGGCAGAGATATAGCTTTCACAAGGGGCTAATGGGTGCCTCCATGCATTTTTCGGAATTTCGAAGGGGATACTCCACAAAATTTGACAAAAAATCTAAAAAATATTTTGTCCCTATATTTTGATGCAGACTTCTGGAGAATCGATCCAGAAATCGTTTAAGGTATTCCGCTTAAGAATCGGATGGATATTGGCAGAGATATAGCTTTCGCAAGGGGCTAATGGGTGCTCCCATGCCTTTTTTGGGAATTTCAAAGAGGATGCCCCACAAAATTTGACAAAAAATCTAAAAAATATTTGGTCCATAGATTTTGATGCAGATTTGTGGAGAATCGATCCAGAAATCGTTTAAGGTATTCCGCTTAAGAATCGGATGGATATTGGCAGATATATAGCCTTCGCAGGGGGCTAATAGGTGCCTCCATGCATTTTTGGAATTTCAAAGGAATGCCCCAGAAAATTTGACAAAAAATCTAAAAAATATTTTGTCCCTATATTTTGATGCAGACTTCTGGAGAATCGATCCAGAAATCGTTTAAGGTATTCCGCTTAAGAATCGGATGGATTTTAGCAGAGATATAGCTTTCGCAGGGGGCTAATGGGTGCTCCCATGCCTTTTTTGGGAATTTCAAAGGAATGCCCCAGAAAATTTGACAAAAAATCTAAAAAATATTTTGTCCCTATATTTTGATGCAGACTTCTGGAGAATCGATCCAGAAATCGTTTAAGGTATTCCGCTTAAGAATCGGATGGATATTAGCAGAGATATAGCTTTCGCAGGGGGCTAATGGGTGCTCCCATGCCTTTTTTAGGAATTTCAAAGAGGATGCCCCACAAAATTTGACAAAAAATCTAAAAAATATTTTGTCTCTAGATTTTGATGCAGATTAACGGAAGATAGATCTACAAATCTTTTAAAGTATTTCTCTCAAGAATCGGTTGAATATTGACTAAGATATGGCACCCGTAAAATAATAAACATATCCCTACAACTTGTGTATCTGATTTAAAACGTCTTGATTTAATGAAACGAAAGGCTAAGCAGCCACTCTTAATTGAAGCATTTCCGTTCCAAAGAAGCCGACTTTCACAAAAAAATAAAGAATAAAAAAATCAAACTCACAGACAGACTGGTCAGCAAAAAAAGGGGCAATTGCTGCACACGAAATCATGTTTCCTTTTGGCCTGGAAAAGAAAATATGAAAATTCGCAGCGTTATCCTTCTTATGGTTTCTTCTCCCCCCCAATGATACTGTGTATTTGTATGCCACTCAACCGCAGAAAAGTTGATGAGAAAATTGGAATGGAAAAGGGGAGTGGAGATGCAAAAGTTGGGCACAGTTATCGGGGTTTACCACCGAGTTGACTTTAAGTCGTCTTTAAATGGAAAAGAAAGAAAAGGAAAGGGGGTCGGCGACCGAAGACGACGGAACTAAGCGGATTTTGATTTGTTTTTCTTGATTTTTTAGGCAAACAAAGAAATGTTCTGAAGCCGTTTGTTCGGCGAATTCCCAAATGCTCTTAACTTTTTCCCCTTCCTTTCGGTTTCAGAGAAGTTTTAAACATTGACATCCACTCAACGAAGGATGTTTTGCTGTACCTGCCAAACCGCAGAACATAAATATACTTTTCAATATGGGCCTTGGCCGCAACATCAAATTGGATGAGTTTTAATTAATTTCGTCATTACAATAATTAATTGAATGCCTGCTGGGCGGGGTGGTGGCTGCGGCTCAAGGACATGTATGCCCAAGTGGCTGCCGGCAATATGGGGTTTGGCAATTTGCAGTTTGCTGGTATACTGGTTTGCTGGGCTGCTGGTTGCGCAGCTGCAACAAATTGCAATATATTTTACAGCTACTTAGTCGAGAATTACATATGCACTGTAGGAGGTAACTTTTCGACGCCAGTGTGAGTGTGTTTGCGACTAGAGTTTGATTTATTGCCAGCCAACTGCGCTCGTAAATAAACAAACCCGAAAGCCAGAACGCCATCAAATGTGTGTGGGAGAAAATAAATTAATGAAATATCCAATGACACAGTTTATGATGTAATATTAACCCGAATGTTAATATCGATTTTCATTTAAAAAATGAACAACTGCATAAATAAATATCTAATCAATTCTAAAACCTCATTAGAAAATTAAATCAAACATGGATTTAACCAATCGCAAGGACTATCTTCCATTTAGACAAATTATTTCATGTCTTCTCCCTATCGGCAATCAAATCCAATTTAAGCAATTTCTGAGGCCAATTTATTTTAAGCAGCCGTTAAACTTCATCTGCCTTCGGGCCAAAGCCATATTCAAACAGAATATCTAAGACTGTTCATCTCATTGGGACTGGCCACATAAAGCCGTTTCGTACAGAGAGCACAAATGGCTTTAATCTGGTAAAATGTGCCTATAAATAGCTCAAGCAAACTCGTCCAGATCGGATCCGTACCGCCCAGCCGGGCCCCACCCACGACTTCCTACGGGATTATGGCTTTGCCTGATAAATCTGTCGCACATAAAGTACCAAAGCGAACGGCTGTTGAACTAGATTCAACATTCATGCCCGTCCACACACGAGCCTGCTGCACTGGAAGAAAAACAGAGTAGTCTTAATCTAACTTAGTACATTCATTTCATCCAAAGATCCATAGCTTATTCCCTGTGCATTCGAGTAATTCATGGGGCGACGCTGCGTCTTCACTCGCCTTGACAAACTGCAGAGATAAGATGGGCCCAAGTACAGAGCCAGTCATGAATGTATGTCCAGCTCGAGTCCTGCTTGACTTGGCTCAATGGGTGCTCTGGTGCGTCCTGGCCCGTCCTGTCCGGTTAAGTCCACTGGGCGCAATCAACTGTGAGTTGTCAGCTGCCAGAATCAGTGGTCAGGCTCCAGGCCCCGGGGACGGTAGTGGGTTAAGAGTGGTGAGCCGCAAATCAATTGGGCCCACTTCAAATTCCCAACTGAATTTCGTAGTGCTTTGTCAATTATATAATTTCATTCTTCTCGTTTTTTTCGTATCAATGGCCATCAAATTCAATTGCATGTGAATCGGATTATCCATTGTCAGTTATTCAATGCAGAAAATGAATTATTAATGCTCTTAGGAAAGATAAAATAATAAATCATTTGATTAGCTGACTAAAACAGACACTCCACCTGCTCTATTTTCAAATGTAGTTTTTGGCAATTATTTCCAAAAAATGAGTGCGCAAAATTTGTTGCATACTTTTCGCGGCGAACTCGTTGACCGAAATAATGTTATCGAGGACCTCGAATAAATGCCGCTGAACAAGTGCATACATTTGCCACTTTATTGTTCCAAAAATACTGTTTGTTGTGTGTGTGTGGAATTTATGTAGCAAGGACAGGGGGTACCACCCTACCAGCACCATACCAGCCTTAAATAAATTTTAATTAATATGTTGCCAGGCAGTGTTTGTCCCATGTGCATTAAAATTTCTATTTGTTTTGGCTCCGGGCAAACAAACAAATGTTGTAAAGCGAAACCCGATAAAAAATAAATGCGTACAAATACAAATTTATTTGCCAACGAAAGCCAAATAACAGAAAGTCAGTTGCCTGTGGACTTATACATAAAATATGACCAACATTTTTTCACTCAATTGGTTAGCTGGCCGCCGCCACAGAAACCCCAAAAAAAATTCCTCCACTAATAAAATGTGTTTTTCTATTTACAGATTTGCTATTGCCGACATGTGCCAAAGCAAACCGAAATACCGAAATAACAAATAGGAGAATCAAAATAAATATTCTGGTGTGAGAACAAAATCAACGCCAGAGGTTCAAAAATTAAAAAAAAAAAAAGATAAAAAACAAAGCTAACAAAAATGTGGAAAATCTGCATTTTTACATTGGTAATTGCGTTGCTAGCAGTAGCAGCTGCAACAACAGCTACAACAATAGAGCCTATAACAAATGACTTGATGACCAACAATAACAACAACAAAAACAGTAGCAGCAGCCACGCCCCTTTGGAGGAAACTACCAACAGCCCCCGCCCTTTGGTTGAAAACAACCAGACTCTGGTGAAAATTTCAACGGCGGACGCCGAGTCCCGGGAAATTTCAGCTGTGGGCGGTTCAACCTCAACGGCCACGCCCACCACAACGGCAACCACGAGCACAACAACAACGCTGGCAACCACCTCGGTTGTTGTCGAAAACGAGGAAGCACCAACATCAACAATCAGCCATCTAATGACAACCAGCGAACCCAACCAGAAAATTCCCTTAGCCGGGATGGGTGAACTCAGCAGCGGCATCAAGGATGCACTGCATCGCATTAAATTGAGCGAGAGCCCACAGGAATCTGTAGCAACAACAGCCACTGTGGAGCCACCAGAGGCGGAGGAGCAGGATGAATCGGAGGATATGGCACTAACAGTATCCCCCTTGCAAATCCAAATGCAGGCAGCAGCCTCATATCAAGTAGCCGAGACGTTGGCCGACTTGAACGAGGAGGAGCGTGCCCGGTACGATGCCATGCTGGCCCAGCAGCCCACGGCCAGTAAGCTGAACATAGTGGATCTATATCCTCTTAAAATCGAGGACATCCAGCCAATGATCCAAAACGACAATGAGGAGCTGATCAAGCAACGTACTATTTTCACTCAACCCGAGAACACTGAGGAATATAAGCAGAATCTAATGCCCAATGAGGTGGAGCTGGTTTTGAATGAACAGGACACTCTGGATCAGGACAAAATCAAAATCAATCAAGAGAAGACAGTAACCACACCAGAAACCCTGAAAGTGGCTACAATCAGTGTCAATCAGGGCACCACGCCGGATTTTACAGGAAAACTCTTGGCCGATCAAGACGATCTCATCACCGAAATCGAAAGCAAGTTCCAGATTGAGGAAACCACCACAACAACCACTAGGAAGCCTCTGCCATTGCTCCTGAGACCTGGGGATACTTTCATAGATAGGAGGGTGAAGAAAAGCTTCGAGTTTCCCACGCAACATCGCGCCAGTGATGTGATGGCCATGCCACACATTGATTTCGCCAACACAAAGTTCCAAACCGATGCGGATCAGCCACAGCCGGCTGCCACACACCCCGAGTTCTCGACCACAAAATTCTATAATAGCAAGGAGTTGTATAACGAAATGCTGTTGCATAATAAGCGCAAGTTAATGAAGGAAACTAGTCCGGCCAAGTCAGCGGCGGAGGCATCCTCAACAAAGTTGAACGTGACTCCTGAGGCTAAAACTTTTCAGCCAACAACTACTCCAGAAACTACAGTAAAATCAACAACATTGCAGTCCGTGCAGTCAGCAACAACAACCACTACAGCAGTACCACTAGCATCAGTAGCACCAATAACAACAAGTACCTTAAAGCCAACAAACACCGCAACTGGAAAATATCAGAAAGAGCTTAAGCGTGCCAAATTATTGCTCAAGGCCCTGACACCACCACAGGCCACCAAGTCCACTGACGACAAACTGTCGGTTAAAGCCACAAAAGCGGAGGAGGGCGGAGTCACCTCCACCATCTCCATCGCTCCGGCAAGGACAAGCCCACCCATACTGATGGCCACCGCAAGGACAGTGCGACCAGCCGGATCTGTCGGAGTTAATCCCACTAAGACGGCCTCAAAGCCAATTGCCAGGCCGCGTATTTTGAGTCGCCTGCAGGAGAAAATCAATTCGCTGGAGTGCGAGGTGCCCAACATACCCCAGGACTCCCATCTGTGGCGTGGCAACGAGACCCACGAATTGTTGCTGCCCATTGTGGTAAGTGCACTTGAAGAAATACATTTCCTAAAGTAATTGCCAAAAATTAAAGCAGTTAGTTAAGATCTTTCCCTTGGAAAACATTTCAAACTTCCGCTTCTTAGTTTCTTAAATATCCAAAAACCAAATTCAATGCCATTTGGTTGCTGTGTAACCACCCGTTTAAGGCTTAGCCATGTCCAATGTTATCAAAACAATTGGAGCCTTATTAAGTTCTTATCATTAGACAGACAAAAGAGCTCACTGGTAGGGAAACTAAAGACGGCTTAACAGTTGACTTGACTACGAGAGAGGCAGCGAACACACGGCGTATGCGTGTTATTTGAGTAAGCGGGTTAAGCAATTAGCTGAAGGTTTTTGCCCCAAAAACAGAAAGTGGGCGACTGACTAACGGACTACATTTACATAATATGCCTGCTGACGGCTAATTAGTATGGAGGAAGCTTAGTTTTCGGATTCGGATTAGGAAACCAAAAAAAAAAGGAAACGAGAATCCTTAATGAAGCTGCTGAAGTTTTGCGGCACGAATCCGAATAAAGAAAAGATTGATTAGGGATTGAATTTTCCCATACCCACACACAGAGTAAAATAGGAATCATTTTCGCGGAAAAGGGATAAATGGGAATGGCAACCCAAAAACAATATCCTCAACTTTGTCAATGACAACACAGACATTCGATAGCCAACAACATGGAAAGTTGTTAAAACTGTTTGCTTGGCTAATTGAAAACCTTTTAGAGCTGAGACAATTTTGCAACCGAACCGAAGAAATCACATAAATAAATAACAAGCGCATTTCGTCGACTGGCAGTCGACAAGAAAAGGACAAAAAGGATTCACCGACTCACTGACGAACCCTGCAAATTTAATCCCAGCCGATAAGTTGGCCAACAAAGGAAATTATTGATCGTCATTTTATTTGGCCATTTCCGTAGCACATGTGTGTGTCTTTTTGGGATAGAAACGAAAAGGTCCCAAAACAAGTTGACCGGAAAGATGAAGGTTCGTCCCAGTTCTTATGCAAAAAAGGACAATACTCTGAGAAAGTGGTGGCTCCTGTCCAGCAGCCAGCACAGTCCAGTTCGAAAGTTTAGACTTTTCTATGAAAATCTATCACTACATTAAATACAATTTTCTGAGCCTTTTGTATGCGTAACGGACTGTTCTCTGGCATCGTAGAAAAAGGTTATCCATTTCTTTATTAAATCGCATTTGTTGTTAAATCACGAATAAACTAGACAAGGGACTCTAGGCCAACCCGAGAAGGAGTCCGAGCCCAGCTGGTCTGTGTTTGAGTTTGATTTTCAGTCGGTTTAGAGTCAGTTTCTTGTCAGAGTCGGAGGAGCCATATCCCTCTCATGTCCTGTTTATATTGACGTAAATCAAGCCATTTGCCAGGCTAAATCACAGCTGCTGCTGATGCTGATGCGCCCATGCCCCTTTGGCAAATATTTAAATTTATTTTATAGAATATACTCACCCTTTTCATCGCCAGACTTTTTGATTTTCTCAGAGAACTGAGAGAATTCCTTTGACTAACTGACTGAGAACCAACTGTTTAATTAACATCTCGCCGGGCGGTGGGTGTTTACCGGCCAACATTAAATTTAATGGCCATTTGTAGGCCGCTTTGAACTGCTCGGATTCCATTTCTATTGTTAATAACAAAACGAAAACGGAAAAATAAAATGGAGCATTGAAAGAAGCAAACGAAATTGATTTCCTGTTTATTTTTTGGTCAGCAAACGGCAAATGGCAGCTCGTCCATGAATTTAATTAAAGGCACTGCAGCATTTTATGCAAACTTTGCTTTGGATTAAAAATAAAATACAAAAAAAAATAAGGAAAGGAAAAAACGTATACATTAAGCATTGGCATAATGTCTACCTTGCATAAAATTAATTCCGGCTTTCTTGGCCACTTCCAGGTCTTCATTTTCTTTTTTCAGAAGAGTCCAGGCACCGAAAATAAGAAAGAAAACAATTAAAGAAAACAATTTTTGCATAAAAGGTGAAAACATTTTTTTCATTTTCAAAGAGAAGGTCAGAGAAAACATTTTTCAACTGAATTTTATGTATTTTTCCGTTTGTTTGTTTGGGTCTTTTTTTGATGGAATTGCTTGAATCTCATTTTGAAGGATCTCCTTCCTCCTCAACAATGTTAGTCATTTAAGCCTAGTTGAGAGCTTTTTTTTTTAGTTTTTTATGCAAAGCTTATGATAATGAATAAACAAAAGAGGGATACTACCAAGTGGCACTCTAAGTGATTAAAATAGAAAAAATGAATAGTTTTTCTTTGTGAATTATTTATTTCACAACCTGTGCTAATCCGAGTTTCAAGTGCCACAAAGGCCTAAATATTTGTGCATCCATATACATATATTGCAGTAACTTGTTTTGTTGACCACCCGCTGTTAGAATTTGCCGGCTAAAACCGCAAATAAAAAACGAAAATTTATGCCATTACCTATTGCGGTGTTCATAAAAAAGAGCTAGCTAGACCGCAAAACACGCATGAATTCTGTGTGACCCAAAAACTTTGCCATTTCCCAATCCGGTCAACATTCCCTTTTGTATGTAAATATGAAGGTTTTTTTCTGCTTTTTTTGGAGTTGACCACACATACAATGTGCGTAAGGGATTTTTATGTGCGTAAGGGCAGGCCATTAAAATGCCATAAATTTGAGCTCTGACAAATCCTCCCCTGACACTACACAGAACAAATACCAGGGCAGGGCATATAAAAAACGACAGGCAAACTAAACCGCTTCAAATTGTGCAAAAATATGCTAAAATGGCTGGACATAGGATAGTCCTGTGGAAATGGGTCGCCTAAAAATGGCAGGGATAACCGCAGAGTCGAGTTCTGGTTCTGGCTTATGCTTCTTTATTTTTATTTTTATTCTGATTGTGTATGTGGCTTAACCCAAATTAATAAAAATTTGGCAACATCAAGTGGATCTGCGCATATGTTATAAACTTTGCTAATATCCACCCAAAGCCAAAGACAGCCCCAAATGAACCTTTTAGGTTTTCGGAGGGAAGTTTATTAGGTTCGGGTTTCTACTTATGTAAATTTGTTTTTGTTACAAAACTAAAAGCCCGGTATAGGGCCCGACTAGACAATGTTGTAAAAGTGAAATTAGAAAACTTGCTAAATAATTCAGTAAGCAACTCGCAACTCGGCTGGCATTTTGTTCGGCTGTCAAACCGCAACAGACGTAACCTTTTAAGGGCCCATTTTACATTTCGATGCGGATGAGTTGGAATAAACCATCTCATCAACTTGGCTCAAGTTCTTATTCCTGTCTCGTATCTTTCAGACCACGGAGCACTGTAGGCCGAACGAACACTGCATACCGAATGTCCTCACCTGGCGCGGCGAGGCGGAGATCCAGTCCGGCGACATTCTAATTGTGGAAATCAACGATGCCATGCTAAATCCATCGCACGAGCCAAATAACACAAGCAGGTGAGTAACAAATTAGGATTTATTTAAGTGAACTTTAAGGATGGCTTGCTTCTGTAAGGACCTATTTTATTTCATCTAATAGATGGTAATTTTTATTACTTGTAAGTCTTGACTTTAATATAACTATCTTAATTCCTGAAGCAAAAATGCAAGAAACTTTATCTTGATGTGATCAAAGTAAATGACTTGGTATCTCTGGATAAACCGTCATTATGTGCCATCAGCAGCATCATCAGAAAATAGAAAAGTGAACATTTTTAGTAGATGTAGCAGTTGTTGCTACCTCATCATCCAGCTCATGATGCAGCGGATAGTGCTGCCATAGCTAGCTGAAAAAATAAGCTAGAATAAAACTAGTGAAAAATATTTTATAAAATATTTAAATATATTTTATAAAATACCAAAAGATTTAAAGTATAAAATTAAATTATTAAATAAACCTTATGACTTCAGAGAAAAAGGCTAAAATCTCTCCACCAAATAGCTACCCTTCCGACATCGCCCTCAGCATTGACAGCTACCCCAAGACACCTGAGCTTACCAGGAAACCCAGAGGTTTCCCCTTACTGTTCGTTACAAAAATAAAAAATACATATATATATATGAACCCCACCTTGCTATCATATTTTTACACCTTCTTTTAAAGGGATGGGGTATTGGTTGAATTCTTTGATTTTGTTGTCGTGTTTTTTTTTATTTTCAGTTAAACGCTTTAATGCGCGTTGAAACGTGTTGGTTGTGAAGCTTATTATATAATAACGTCTATTAAGGACCTTTATTGATTTTTCTTCTTCAGCACGTCTGCCCGGGAAAAGGAGATATAGATAGACATTGGTCAGATGAAGGGAATGTAGAATAGTTGCAGGTCCCAGACACGTTCCGCCATTATCAGGGGCATGCCCCTTTTACAGTTTATTAAATTGTTCTCTCTTACTCCAAAGTTCGCTGTCTAACTCTGTTTTTTGGGTCTCTTCTTTATTTGCTGTTTTCCCAAAAATTTTTATTTTGGTTTTTTGTTTATTTTATAATGCTTACAAAAAATATCCTTTACAAACTGTGAATATAAATGCGATAACAGAGTGGCCTGAAAGCACAGAAAAAAATTATTTTAAAGAAAGAAACTTAGTCCTTTAAGTTTAGTTTTTCAAAAACATATTCCATTAAGGATTAATCTTGTCATATTTCAAACAGATTTATGGCACATTCTCTGGTTGGTCGAATTAAATACTATTCCGTTCATATATTTTCATGTCAAAATAAATAAATTTTGTTGCCTTGTAGCAGATTTTTTCTATGCAGTGCTAGTTGTTGACCATTAGTCATTGGGTTGGATGTGCGCATACCACAGCTGGCTGACCCTTTTTGCCATGGCAATTATCACGTTTCTCTCGGTTTTTGCTATCATTTTTACCCCAGCACTCTGCACACATTTTATTATTATTTTTTTTTTTTTGGTTGGCTGCCTTCTTTTACGTTTTTTGCTCTTTTTAATTTAGCTCGGTCGCTGGTTCTTATCTTATCGCTTGATAGATGCCTCTGCTGCCACCCATCAAAAAACTTTTTTTTCGCCGCCCATCCCGAAAGGCAAGAAAAATTAAAATTCATTTGTCGAACTTTTCGGGGCAGACATCAAACGCGACCGCGTACGAAATTTTCCGGTCTTCGTGGATCTCTTATTTAGCCCAAGGGCCTCGCAACTCGAAATGCCTGGCATAAGTTCCGATTCCTGTAACGTTCCTTGGGGGCAAAATAAGACCGCAAACAATCGAGTTAGTTGGAGGAGTGAAAGTGAGGTGGGAAAAAAAGTGTGGCATACAATTGAGCGCTGTGGGCCCGAAGAGAAAAGTTCCCGCCAAACTATGAAAATGAGATGTCAAAAAAGTTTTTATTATCGATTTAATATGTGAATGTGTGTGCTGCGGTAACTGGGTGTCTGTTCGGGCCAAGTTAACAAATGCAATAGCAAAAAATAATAATACGTAGGGAAAAGCCAAGGGTAGCAAATAGATTGGCAAAGCTCGAGGTAGTGAAAACTTTTCCGGGCTCGCAGTTTTCTAACAAGTTTTGTGTTCTTTCTTTTTTTTTATATATTTTTTTTTTTTTTTCGTTGTTTCCCTCCAACAACTCGACTACGTGTTGTTGAAAAATTGGAAACTTAGATACTATATGAGGTGTCTTCCTTTGTTTGTGCCGCTGTTTGTATGGTGTCTAGTTTTTCTCTCGGAAAACTTGCCAGCGCGGAATACGAACTTCCACAGGATGACTTTTTAAGAACAGAATAGAAACGGCAACATGGCAGCTCCTTTTGGAGTTGCAAATGCAGCAACTACACCTTGTTAAATTTTCAAAGAAAAAGATATGAAATTGAAACAATTTTGAAGCTTTAATATTCTTCCCCAAAGAAAGGATAGTTCATCCACATCTACTTAATATAAATTTCCAGCCTTCAGGAGTGTTAATTTTCAGCAATTTAAAGTCCATTAGGGGTAAAGCATCTGCTGAAAGTAACCTCAACGTTTTTTGTCTGCTTGCCTCAAAGTCGGAAATCATCCGGGAAGAGAAAACCCCAATGGGAACCCTTTTCTGGGGCTTCCTCGCCCTCTCTCTCGACTAATTTCATTTCCGCCTTTGTGCTATTTAATTTCCGCTAGAGCAAGGCAACCGACAGCAACTGCTTATAAATAAATTTCAATTAATTAAGCACATACCTACGCAGGAAACGCAACTGAGACCCAACATCTTCGGTCATATTTACAACTTAAACAAGCAAACAGAAGCCATTTAACTTGCCTGCCGTCTCAGTATCTTTCTCATTCACTCATCGTTTGCTTGTTTCTTCCTTACCCATTTACCCGCTTACCTGGCGATACCTGGATGCTGACATAATAAACGTCGACGAGCAGCGCGGTGCATGCAACACAGGTGTACCAGGTGACTCGATCCGGACACGAACACTGCGACGTCACCGAGGGTGTCCTGCTGGATATCACGCCCCTGGTGGTCGATGGCAGGAAACTGGTTACACTGTATGATAAGGACCTCACCGAGGGAGTTAACTTGCTAATTGGTGAGTTCAACCCTAAAACTAACTAACCCACTGGCTGTGCTAACTTTGTGGTTAACTTGGTCTGGAAAATCTTACAAAGAGAATTTTCAGTCATAGAAACATAAGAGGATTTCAAAATGTTCTTTTAATGAATTATTTTTTAAAATAAGTTAAGCATATTAAACCTTTTGAAGAGTATTTATTTCTCTACCAAGACTTATTCTTTTTTCTCATTTTTTCTTTGGTAAAAATTTTCTGCCTCCTTTGTTTGCGGCAACCGTTCAGCCGACTAAACATATATATATTTTTCTTTATGCTTTGCTATCTGGTGTGGCCTTAATTAATGCCAAGTCCTGTATATCTCCTCCCTCTTTTCGTGCAGTGGTGTCCGAGCTGTGGGGAGCACAGTGTGTCCGCCTGAAGGTGACCACGAAAACCGACAATTGCGGCGAGAACGCCGACTGCTCCGGCAAGGGAGTCTGCTACTCGAACTCGGGCATGGAGGAGTACGAGTGCCAGTGCTGCAGCGGATTCGCGGGCCCGCACTGCGAGGAGATCGACGCGTGTAATCCCAGTCCCTGCACAAACAACGGCATCTGCGTGGACCTATCGCAGGGACACGAGGGCAACTCCTACCAGTGTCTTTGTCCGTACGGTAAGGTCATTAGCTATCGTCCCGGTCTCATTAGTGGCCAGCGTCCCGAGATAATGCTATTAATATGCCTACGCCCATAATGCGGACAATACACACACCATTACCATTCCACTCATCTCTCACCCCGACTCCTTTGCTTCCTTTTGCAGGATATGCGGGCAAAAATTGTCAATACGAGTCGGATCCTTGCAATCCCGCCGAGTGCATGAACGGCGGCAGTTGTGTGGGCAACTCCACGCACTTTCGGTGAGTCAAAGGCAAACACAAAAGAGGGTAAAAAGATGGAAAGGAGTCGGTCCAGGACCAGGCTTAAAGTCACTGAAAAAATTCATTGAAAACTATAAAAAATTAAAGAAATTGAAGCCTTTTAAATGAAAATTTTATGAAATACCTATCCTTATTTTATGACGAAGCTTTCTTAATTAAACCATTATTTTCTCTCAGTGCAGTGTCAACATTTAGTAGTATTTGTAGACAGCTGAAGCAGTCCTAGCAGCAGCTTTCATTCAATTATCCTGACCATTGTTTTGCGGTTCTGTCTAGCCGCTGCCGTCTGTGTTTGCTCATAAATGTTGACTTTTGTCGCATGTTCAAAATTCCCAGTTTAACCATTTCTCTATTTTTTCTTTTATTTTTCCCCCCATTCAGGTGCGATTGTACACCAGGGTTCACAGGACCTCTTTGCCAGCACAGTTTGAATGAGTGCGAGTCGTCGCCGTGTGTTCATGGCATTTGTGTGGACCAGGAGGATGGGTTCCGGTGCTTCTGCCAGCCAGGTGAGTAAATGCGACCAACAATTTCAGCACCAGCTCCGTTTTCAGCCAAATAAACGCAAATTGCCTTCATTCCTTTGTTGACTAGCTGGAAAATCGCTCCCATAATGCCAATATTTTGTCATCCAAGTTTTGCAAAAAGATTCTGTTGGAAAAACTTTCAACGGAATTTGTAGTTTGATTCAAGAAAAGGTTGGAATTTTACCAATAATATTGACCAAAGAAAATACCTTTACCTGCTAGATAGCAGGTTTTTTTTGATAAAAATTCAATCAGGATATTTACAAATTTAAATTGCTTTTTGAATCATATTTGTTTTCCATGTGTAAACGTGATTTTCCCGCGGAATCCACGTACTTTAAGGCAATCAAATTTCGCTTTTCAATCGAATTGGAGTCTACGCGAATCAGAAATCTACATGGAAGCTCATAAATTATTTCACTGGCACAAACACAATTTGCATAAATCGCACTCAATCACAATAAAAAGTAAATGTATAAAAAAAAATTCGCTGAGACAGAGACGAAGGCAATGAAAGTCGAGACAGCGTCGCCGAGCATTTCCCATTTTCAATTGAAATTTCCATTTCATTTACTTTGCACATTTACATTTACCCGGAACCATTCCTTTGGACTTTTTTCCAGGTTTTGCCGGCGAGTTGTGCAACTTCGAGTATAATGAATGCGAATCGAATCCGTGTCAGAACGGCGGCGAATGCATCGATCACATTGGCAGTTACGAGTGTCGCTGCACCAAGGGCTACAGTGGCAACCGCTGCCAAATAAAGGTGAGTGAACAATGGAAAGGGTGCGGGAATATCTCAACCAACAATAGCTAAGAGGATCCACAACCGAAGGTGACAGTGCCCTAACAATGGCAGTTCCTACAATTGTCTAGAAAATCAAATCCATTTAAAGTATTTAAACAACTCATGAGGCGTAAGGAGGTCCCTTAAAAACCTCTCAAGATTACATATTCCCAAAAGTCGCCATTAGTTGATTTTTACTCCCCAAGATAATCAATATTTTTGTATTGAGAACAAATCCCGTGACAGTTCTCTGACGAGAAAGTCGAACGACCCCAAACTGCCGGCAGTTGTCTGCGAAACTTGAATGGGTATTGATTTAATTTGCTGAGACCGAAACTCGCGCTTTTCCAAAAACACACACATTCCCAGCCGAACACACATCATTGAAAATGGGATTGCATACACATATGGGTTTTTGGGGTGGTATCCTTCAGATACGGATCCTGGGCAAATACATTTTTGAATACGTAATGAAGTTTCAGCGGTTCTCGGTCTCGGTCGGTCTCTATTTCGACTCTGCCACAATATGCTTTGATTTGTGCCGAACACAATTTTTTTTGCATTTTGCTTCTTTTTGTTTTGTAGGTTGATTTTTGCGCCAACAAGCCTTGCCCCGAAGGACATCGCTGTATTGATCATGGAAATGATTTCAGCTGCGAATGCCCAGGAGGTCGCAACGGACCGGATTGTAATCAAATGCCAAGAACGGTAAGTCATGATTTATGCAGTCGTTGGTCTGAGTTTTTGGTTTCTGGTTTTCTGGTTTTTCGGTATGGTTTTCTATCTCCTTGTGGCAGTTGGCAAAAATGCCAGCAAATAGCCACAAATTGTTGGCTTACTGTGTAGCAGTTGCAGCAGCATAATTGTAGCCAATTTTGTTAGCTAACTGCCGCACGATTGCATATGCAATTTTTTGAGTATTACTTTTGCATTTTTAAACTGATTTATTACTCTGGTTTGTTGGCATTTAATAAATAGTTTTTGTTTGGCTATCGATTTCTCAATAAAAGTGGTCTGAAAAGAATAGCTACTTTGATTAGTTTAAGGTTATTATACGATTCTGTTTCGCAAGCAATTATTATTCATGGTCTTCCACTTGGCCCATCAAAACTAAACCCAAGTTCATAAATTGAGTTAACTCTCAAAAAGAATTTAATAAACGCTCAATGGACTTGATAATTTGTGGTGCTAAAATAAAACTCAACAAAATGTACATAAATTAAGCGTCAAGGCGCCACAATTAAAGCTTTGTGAAAATGATGGACACGCTGACTAACCGCGACTCCTGCGAGGACCATAGATTCCGAGAACACTGTCATTATGCGAGGACGCGCCGAGGGGCTATGCTGAGCCAGGGGGTGTGGCACAGGGGACAGTGGAGTCCTGGAGTGGAATGAAGTGGAGAGGAGGGGGACAGACCACGGCTAGAAATTGCGGCTGTACCAGTGGCTCGTGGCTCCTGTTGAGGAAGGCAGAAGCAAAATTAATTACATTTTACATGCCAGGCACACACACACTTCCACAAAAAGGACGAAAAAGCAGGAAGGAGCCTGCTCTTTCTCGGTAATTGTTAGTTGGATGTGGTTAGATGATAGCATGCTCCATGAGTCCACCAACGTAATACTGAAAATTTTGTTTTGAATTTCAGTAGCTAGAATTATAAAGCAAAGTGGTTTATTAGATTTTGATAATGCGGTTCAAATATTAAAATAGAATTTAGGTTTAGGTTTATTTAAAGTCCATTGTTTTCTTCGGTTATTCTTTAAAATCAGTTACTATTTTATGTTAAAAGTATATATATTAAACTCACCAACAATGCGATGATAACTTTCAGTACTTTCAGCAATGCACCGTAAATCCTTGCACCCATGGCGGCACTTGCTGGTCCAGCGGGGATAGCTTCTACTGCGCCTGTCGTCCTGGCTACACAGGCAACATGTGTGAAGGTGAGTCACGGTCCCGGTCCCCCAAAAGTCATTAACTTGATTAGGCGGCCATCAGTTTGGACCGCAAAAATATGGTTCCCGCGTCGGCTATCTACGAGCTTACATTTTTCTTTTTTATATTTTTTTGTCACTGCCCCCGAAATTTTCCGGCTTGACTTTCCTTTTTCCGGCCTCTTGCAGATGAGTTTGTGGTCGAGACCGTCGTTAGCTCCAGCGAATTTATTGTGGACGATGCGAACGCTAGAAATTTTAATGACAAAACTTTCGGTTCATCGGTTGTGCTTAAGAGTCCCATTGAATTGCATAATGCATATTTTGCGGCCGGAGTCCTGGCCGCCGCCATTTTCATCGTGGCCGTTGTGGTAAGTTCCTGAACATTCCCTGAACATCCTTCCAAAAATATAACAAAAAAAAAAAGAAATTTTACAATTTTGGAGTACAAGGTCCAAACTGTTGAGGGGAAATTGTACTTTGCGGTTATGCAAAGTGCGCGAAATGGCATTGCATATTCATTTCGATGTCGGAAAAGTGGTCGAGCAACCGAATCCTGGCCAGAATGCATCCCGGCATCGAGGCTTTAACCAAAATGTAGTCGATCGCCCGAGCCAACCAACCGGGCTTAAAGCAGATGCAAATTTATACAATTGGTGTCCGTTCGCTCACAATGTGTGCTTTTTCAAGAGGATAACGGGGTGGAGGGAGCAGTTTATTGGGAGCCTGGCTGAATAAAGAGTCCTGCCAAGTCCTGAAGCGGACAGGTTAATAGCGAAAGTTTAAGTTGAATGATTTAGTGAGCGAAGTTTACATTTTTTGGCAATTTTTCAAATGAGCCTAATGACTAAAAAGGTTTTATTTAAGTTTTTAGTTTGATAGTTAATGTATTATTATTTATTAATTCAATATTTTTTACGAAAAATATGCCATTTTACAACATTTTAAAATGTAATTTATTTTACCTAAATAATTAAAAGGACATTTTAAAACCTCTCACATTTATTTATTACATAATAAATATTTTTTTTTTTTATAAAATGAAACCAGTTATGTTTATATAAAGGAGATAAAATAAATCAAACAAAAACTGCAATGATTTCATTAATATGTAAGTAAGCTAAAGTAAACATTCCATAAAATAAAGCAAAAAACAAAACCATTTAAATATATAAAAAGAAAACCAATTCAAAGGACAAACTTCTGGCAAGTGCTTTAAATCAAATTTATTAGCATACTTTTTCGGGCCGCATCGTGACACCCACATGATATTTTTTCCAGGTCGCTATTTGCTGCGGCCATTACCATTGGCTTTGCCATATGGGAACCAATCCATAACCATTTACTTAACACCCACCTCTCGACTTTTCCAGGTCACCATTTGTCACTGCAAGGTCAATCAGACGTATCGGAAATTCTCGACGCGCTCCACCTCGTTTATACCGATTCTGGGCTTCAGTCGACGGCCAAAAATGCAGGGCAAACTCAATAAGCACTGGCTGAGTGGCAAAGGTGTGGTGGCCGCCGGTGGTGTAGCCAGCGGAGCGACCGCGGGCGGGGCGCAGCGGGGCAGTGTCAGTGGTGCAAGTGGCACGCAGCAGGGCGCCACCGCAACACGCCACTTGCCGGGTCAGACACAAACGCAGACCTCGCTGCAGGAGCGACCTTTCCAACGGCACTTGGCCATGAATCTGGAGAACGACATGTACTACACGGTGGACTTTAGCGAGAATTCACAGCACTCGCCGTTGATACAGTGAAACTTGGATAATGGCGGCGATTGGTTAGTCAAATTTATCCCACAGAAGAGCGAGTGAGTGGGTTGTGGAAACCGAGTTACAGAAACATTATGAGTAGTTTGGGTTTGGGTTACTTGGGGGATTGTGTAATTATCTTTGATGCTACTCGTTGAATATTCCAAATATTGAACAGTATCCGATAATAATAAACTAAAAACGTGTGTATATGTGCGCAGAACCTAATGATTATGAGTCCGGCTAACGCAAACACACAAATATTTATGATTAATACATGTATCTCTGGCCTAAATAGGCTTAGCAAACTGGTTTATCAAGGTTTATTTTGGCTAAGCACACACATCCACATCCGGAACATCCGTAGCATCCGTAGCTGGATGATATTGTTTGATAATAAAACACACGTTACTTCTGGGGGGCAAAAGGGATTATAATCTCGAATTATGTAAATGTTAAATACGAAACCAGATCTGTTTTGTTTTGTTCTCTTTGCCAAAGTTTATTGTATGAAATTTTCAGATTTGTGCAAGGCATCTCTGGCCATAAAGTCCTTTATGAATTTGATATGCAAATAAACGAAATGAAGGAAGCCCTTAAAAGTGGACATGGTTTCTCTGTAATTCTATTATGAAATGCCATAGGTTTGGTGTTGAAATCGCAAAAAGCTAAACTAATTGCATTTCGGAGAGTTGCTAATTAAAAACAAAATGGAATCCGATGACATTTAATAAAGCCTGGCTTTCACCGCATTTTCATTTGGCAAATATTTGCAATTAGTTAAATAATAATGGAACGAAAGCAAAACCAGAAACAGAATAGTGGAATCAAGAATTCCATTGTTTGACGCAATCCAGAAATAAATTTAGTTGCGAATGAGTCACGAATATTGGTGCCATATTCAACTAATTTCATGAAAATCAGTTTAGTTTAGTTTTAATTAATTTTTCCATACTAATAAATTGTGTTTAGACAGGCGATATGGGGATGGTGCTCTAAATTGAATTCGGTCAGGGCTGATATCACAGATTATTGTTGGCATACTCGACCGCAGCAGTCGAAAGTTGTTAGTGAAAAATAATTAGCATAAATTATAATTGTAGCCACAAAAGTTAATATGTTTCTTGTGCATAAATAATATTAATTTTGGAATAATTTCAATAAATGATAGAGTGTGAGTGGGTGGGTGGTGTGTGGGATATTGGGTGTGTATATGTGTGCTGGCCACATTTAGCATATTGTTGTTGATATGCAAAATATTATTACTGATCCAATTGCGAAATGAAACATCCAAGAGATGTCGGCAATGAATGACAAAAATCAAATAAAATGCAAAATATGAAAGCCGAACAAATGGAGATGAAAATTCTGATAAAGCTTGATGCATTCCTTTTTTGTGTCAATAATAATAATATTCGTGCGATTGAAGTGCGCAGTAAAATGAGTTTGTAATTAAAATGCTATATTAAGTACTTAATAACGATAAACAGCGGCAAAACCAAATTGCAAAAAAATACACACACAAAAATACAAAAATTTATTATTAATAAAAGCCTTAGCTTAAGAAATAAAAAATCGGGGAAAAGCCAAAGAGTGTAATGAAAATATAAATAATTGCAAACATTTTTATTAATAGATAAAAATGGAAAAAGAAATGAAATGAAATGAAATGAGTAGTCATCTGTGGCAAAACTCTTGGCGTTTTGGGCAATTACAATTTAATTTTTAAGCCAATCAGCAAAATAAAGTGGAAACTCCAGCGAAACATGAAAAATGCTTGAATTGATTTTGAATGGGAAAACAATTACAATCCGCCCCCCCAAAAATTATTATTTGTTTCAATGTTTTCAACAATTTTGGGTTTTTATTCAGTTTTTGTGTTTTTGCATAATTTATACATACACATCGACATATACATTTATATAACATAACACACACATGTACATTGTAAAACTAAACAATAGTTTTGGTTTATCAATTCCGATGCCATTTCCATTCTTTTGTTTACTTTTGGTTTTGTTTAATAATATCACTCATTCGCCCCGTATGATGCTTGTTCTATCAAGAGTCATCGGAGTGGACAACCTCATCCTCATTTGGCTCCGCTGGGCTTGTGCCATTTCCATTAGCCTTCTGGGGAGGGGATTCCGCCTTTTCGTCGCCCAAATTCACGGTCGTCTTGGAATTGTGTAGCTCCGTCTCCTCAGGAATGACCTTACGGCCCTCCTGATCCTGTGAAAGTTAAAAAATATTTAATTGGTAAGTTTTTTCGAATATTCAACTTGCATAACATGCCAGATGCTTGTTAAATACTTTTATTCACATTTGATTGTCTATCCTTTTGTGTTTCCACCATTTCCACATGCAATTAGCAATTAAAAGGTTAAAATGCATGCAAAAACCATCTGCGTAACGAGAATCCAAGTTAACCAACCGATTTCAAACAAAATAAAAATAAAAACCTCAAAAAGAATATTACAAAAAAAAACATCAGAAAAACATATCGTGTTGGGCGGTGTTAAGTGCTATTTACAATTTACTGAGCCAACTTGTTTTTAGTTTTTCCTTTGGCTCCCGCAATGGGATTTTCATGCACATGCGGGCAAGTATAATCGACATGCATGCTAATTTGAGTTTTGAACATGAAATTTAAGTGGCCGATAAATTATATTTAATGGAGTTGCAGTCATTGGCTTGGCTCGATGGCTGCCAGAAGTGTTCCGCTGGTATGGCTGCCGTAATGAGCAATTTCGATGCGGGACTATAACATTGTGGTTCCTATTGATTCCTGAATCCTAGCGAAAGCTTTCTAATTAAAAGGGTTGTTAAAGCTGATGTTGATGTTAATTTAAAAAGTGTGCACTATACATACAGTTTAAAATCTGCATCTCATATTATCGATGTTTATCGTTCTAGTAGAGAACTCTCCAGCTTCATAACATAAATATTAAATAGCTGAATAAAACCACCCGAAATAAGGGTATCTCTACATTGGATATATACCAACTTTATGGTCTTTTGCTTCCCCATTCGAATTTCAAATGATGTTTTCCTTTTTCTCCAGCTTCGGCTCAACTCTCGATGAGTGCGCTGCATTTCATAAGCATTCCGGCTGAGTTCGCTTCGCATATGCACGAATAAACTGCAGCAGCAGTTGCACCAAAGGCTATATATTTCTTTTTCTGCTTTCCTGGTTGCATTTTGGTTTTTTTTTTTATCCTGTTTGTATATTGTTGAAAGGCATTTACGCGTCATCAAACTTTTTGGATAATTCGCTATGCATCGAACGTAGTTTTCTCGTTGTTTGGCTTTTTATTAAAAAGTGACTGGGTGTGTGGGTGGATGCATTTTAGTATAAAAGTGGGGTACTGGCCTTGCAGTTGAATGCACAAAAGTTTTCCCACCCCTCTGTATAAAAATGCGCATCTTAAGTGCCATGTGTGGCTGAGTGGGAAAAGGAAAAACTCAAAGGAAAATGCAGGCAAAATGAGCGGGGACATGGCAAAAAAATATATATGTATTTATTAATAATAGATTCAAAAGAGTCCAAAGAGCTAAGAAGCTTTTTAAAAGTTTTAAAATCTAAAATCTAAAATAATAGAATATGTGCCTTAATTTCATTATTTGACTTTTTAAAAGCAAACAATGTTAAACAAGTTATACGCTTTTTAAATTTTTTGTGTTGTAAATTAGTTAAAATTTAAAAGCTTTATTTTTCATAGTGCATCGATAGAGAATAAGAAGGGAAGGAATTTTTTTTAATGTTTTTGCTCAGTTCATTTTGCGCTGCTTTTGTTTCCATTCCTTTGTTTGGTTTCAAGTTTTTCTTTCTTTATATATTTTTAGACCCCTCCCACCATTGGCCCACCAACGCCTCTGTCCTTTCAGAATGCTTACAATGGGCATTACTTACGCGCAATTTCGCGTTCACTTTTTGTGCGTTATGTTGAAGAAGTTATTGGCCTCGATAGACGAGCTAACAAATTCATATAAACGACTATAAAGTCGTCTCTGGCCAAAATCAACAATGACAAATGTTGCCAACAGCATCGAATTACGTGGCATTCATTTTGCGATCATTCCCCATAAATATTTCTATTTTTTTCTAAGCTTTTTTTTTTTTGGAGCAAAGTCCGTTTCCTTTCACACACATCAATAAATCGTTTTCATAGTAGAAAAAAAAAGTAAAATAAATACAAGAACCAGCAGAAAAAGAAGAAGTATATGTGCAGAAGAAGGAAAATAGAGAACAAACCGGAAATCCTAAAAGGAAGTAGAAACATACAGAAGTACATATGAATGGGAATACATGGAAATATACATACAGAGTTGCCTTGGAAATGGCGAAAAGTTTAGAGATCCATGGGTTTCTTTTCATTCCCAGAATTTAATACACTGAAGCAGTGGTCCCACTTAAATTTAATTTTAAAAAAATGTTAAGGCTAAAAAAAACTAATTTTGTATAGAATTTTGTTCAATTGTTCCTTGAAAAGTTTTAAATTTCTTTGCCACATTCGAACAGACGATGCCCTTTTTCGATGCCTTACGATGTTTGTTTATTCCAAGCCATTGTTGTTCTTTTTGTACTTTTTTTTACCCCCCACCCCCACCTAGTGACCTATCACCCATATAGGTCTGCCTGCCCCCAGATGGCCCAACCTTTTCTATTTGGCAAAACAAACATTGTTACTTTTTTGCAACAGCTGTCATTGTTATTCCTTTTTGTCAACTTGTATTAAGTTCAACAACAAATCATTTGGCGTAAAACGTAAACAAAATCAAAGCGCACAAAAAATCCCCACCCACACACATACCCCAAATAATAGGAAAAGGACAATTTTTCAAGTCCCTGAATAAAAAATAGAAAACTTTTAAAGTTAAAGGAGGAGTGGGCGAACGAGAACAAAGCTAAATGGGATGTGAGACGATGTGTGGAACCAAGCTCAAATTGCTCGACGAGTGTGCAAAATTAAACTAAACTCAACTAAGCGTGTTGCAAAGAAAGCTCTGGACTCAAGGGTATAATCGGGGCAAAAGTAGTATAAAGGGGGGCCTAAAGAGTTGGCCTGAAGGTGGTGGATGAGGAGGGTGCCTGGTTTGTGGGTTATGCACATAAAAACAAGTGATGGCCAAAAGTCAAATGGCGCAAGTGCGGGCTTTAATTCAACGAAATAACTTAATGCCCGGATGGCTTGGCAAACTGCGACGCTGGAGCCAGCCATCACCCGAAAACCCCATCCGAAAATAAAAAGGAACCTAAAAAAGCAGCAGCAGCAATGAAAACTGTACATGGCATTGCATTTTCCAACAGTTTTACACTAAAAAATTAATAAAATATTATACAATTTTAATGTAACAGTTTCAACATAGAAATTTAACTAAAAATATAGTTTTAGTAATTTTTAATTGTAATTTTTAGAATTTAGGTATATTTTCTTTTTTCTTTATAGTATAAAAAAGTTAATATATTTTAAATTTTTTTAAGTGTTTTGCTGCAATATCTTGGCGTATGATGCTGCTGCTGGCTGAGTTGCTTTTGCCACTGCCATGGCCTCTGTTTATTCGCATTCAACGCTGCATGCTTTTGGGCGCTTGCAACCCAGAACAAGGACTGCCCGGAGAAGCCAGGACATGCCATGCAGTCGCTGTTACATATGTCTGTGTGCCAAATTACTCTTATTCGAAAGGGATATACCGATGAGAGTGGTAGAAAGAAGAAAATATTCTAAGCTAGAAACTTATATGAGAAACAAAATCTTTTTTTTTACTGAACTGAACTTATTTCTTTAACAAGTTTTAGGTATAGTTGATAAATATTTTTAAAGCTGAAAAACATGGATCATGCACCGAAAGGTTAACCACAATTCGTTACTATCATGCTTTTATTTTCTTTTCTTTTTTGACTATTTTTGTTATTTATATCATTTTGTTGTTTTGTTGGAGTCTTGTACATTACCATTAACATGGAGCTGGGTATTACGGATAAATCCACAGCGGGTATTGAAGTTAACAAACCACTTGGATACTTTTTCATGCGGCTGGGAAAAAATGTTGATTCCACGCCCTGTTTGTATGCGAATGGCATTTTTGGCTGTAGCATATATTATCCTCACACATGTATAGTTAAGGGAAATGCACTCACACTCACAATCACACACAAACACTCCCCCATACACCCAAAGATTTCCACACACACATAGACAAAAACACAGATATGTGAAAATCCAATAGAAAGCTCTCAACTCCCCCTCTTCGAATTTTTGGCAAATTTATTTTGCACAAAGCGAAGTTTTGGTTCTGCAACCGGACTGTTGGCCTGCAATTTGCAACTCAACTCCCCACTGTGGCTGCCACGCCTCCCGATTGCCCCCAATAGCCAAACAAAATGGTAGAAACCCCTAACTTAAGTAAACTCCTGGCCTTTCTGGGGAGTTTTCGGCTTTGTTTCGGTCTATTTTGCAACTCTGTGATGTGTGGAGGCACAAACTGTCAGTTCGGTCTGTCTCTCAGCAGGAATGTGTTTTTAAAAAAAAATGTTGCAGATGCCAGAGCAAAAACTTGGTCTTGTTCATAAATCCATTAATTTGTTATTTTTATGATTTCCCCCAGCACCCAGCTCCCAGTACCCAGCACCCATTAGTTGTTCTTTCCGGTGCAACCACATTTGATTTATTGAATTATGGTTGCCTAGTTGCCATAAAAGCTTCGCTTCAAAGCATCGAAAATTAATTACAAAATTAACTTTGACAGCCAGCCTTGGCAGAGGGTCGAGGCAAAGGATAAAGAATAATCAATGGCTGGGCATATTTCATTGGGAAAGTTTTTAATTAAAGTATAGACCAGATATTGTCTACTCGATGGCAATTGCAGTTGGAGTTGCAACTTGAAACTGCAATAAATTATTCGGGAAAAACAGAAACAGAAGCTTTCTGTCAAAAGTTATTAAGAATATTTATTAATAAAGTATACCAAGATTTATTTCGAAATAAAAAACTTAAAGTATAGTTCAAAAATCATACAAAAAAAGGCTCCTTTAAAGGCACATTGCCAATGCAATTTTCGCCATTTCTAATAGTCCTCCTTTCCTCTGTTTTGGGATCCAAAGCGAACAAAAACGCTTGGCCCGAAGCGCATATGCCTGCCTTGAAAACAAAAACCAATAAACCCGTTTCAAATTCAAGCTGCAAACCATCAGAAATAGAGGAGCAACTGGGAAGCCAAAGAGAAATCGAATCCATTGGAGCGGCATCAAAAGAAACGACCACCCAACAAAGGCAACCAAATGCCAAACACACAAAACAACCGTCCTCCCATTTGCCTTTACTCTGCTAACAAGGTGCACTGCAAAAAAACAGTATACCATTAAAAATAAAGCTCTTAAAAATTATATAAAATTTTCTAATAAAGTCTTTTCTGTTTATTGATGAAAAATATTTGAAATTATTAAATGAAAAATATTTATAATTTTTTCTTAGTGCCTTCAATGATCTGAGTTCGGGGCGGATGCAGTTGGACCCCAGCATCCGGTTGTCAAGGCGAAAGCCAGGGAAAACCAGAGACAGGAAGCAGCCGGGGACAATGGACGCGCGGCAGCATGCTAAAAAGTTATTGTGGCAACAGATGTTGGGTATTTAAAAACCAAACACGACCCAGAGCAAAGCCCCCTTGAAAGCCCAGCCAACAAAAAAGCAAAAAGACTGAAAATCAAAACAATTGACAGCAATCAGCGATATACAAACACGCACACACACACACACCAAGGATGGGGGTATAAAGGACTCACCTCCAGGACGACACCCTCAAGGGCTGGCTGGGAAATATTCTTGAGATTGCTGTGATTCAATTTCGGGGCACTGTCGGCCCGATTGCGGCCCAATGATTGATTCGACGTCTTATTATCGGCCTTGCTCAGCATCGAGTTGTTCGAGGACTTGTGATTAATCTCCAACGCGGAGCGCAGGATATCCACTTTCGAGGCACTTCCAATGTTTCCATGGCGGGGCACTCCCCTCAGGGACTCTACGTTGTAGCTGCTCCGGCGCACTGAAAGATGGTCGTGAATGTCGGCCTAAGGGATAACAAAACAAAAAAATTCAATTTAAATTGCTTCATCCAAAAGGATCATTAACAAAATAATCCCAGGGTAAAGACCTGTCAAATCGTCAAGGATACTGAACCCAAACAGGACTTTTGAATTTTGAATAGACACCAAGTTCTCTGCATTTCTTAGACATAATCGCCACTCACCCTCGATCCCCTCGGCAGTGATGACAAACTGCCAATCTGATTGTATTTAATCATCAAACTCAATCGCTCCAAGGACATCGAGGTGCCCTGCTCCTTGGTAGCGGGCTCAGTCAGTTTCTCGGTTTCACCATTTTCAATCGCCTCCACCTCCTCCTCGGACTCCTCGGTGGTATGATCGAATTTACGGAGCCAAATCAGATGGAGGAGGCCGTAGGCGATGCCACCGACCACGGCCAGGAGTCCCATGTACCGGAAAGCATCTCGAGTGCCAAACTGACCAATAAGGAGACCGCCAGTGAAGCTGCCACTACCTCGTCCTGGAATGACAGACAAACCAAATGTGATTACATACACTTAAAGTGCCTCATTAGGGAAATGCACAGAGAGAAATAAAAGTTAATAAGTAATATTTTAAGTTTTTAAAACTAACTTGATCATTTCATCACGTGTTGTAATTTTTAAAACCTGTAGGTTGTTCTCTTTTGATTGATTTAATTAATAAAATTATATTTTTAATTTGCCCACTGCATAGATGCTTTGGGTACTCACCCAAACTGAAATGAGCCATGCCCAGGACACCAATCAAAGTGGCCAGTAAACTTTTTGGGGCCAGGATCGAGCAGTAAGTTGCCGCCGCCACCCACATAAGATGGCAGGATAACGACTCCATGGCCTCGAACGGAAAGCACCACCAGGCATTCCTTTAACGATGGAAAGTAAAGGGGGGGCGTGAGTCAAATAAGGGAATTCAATTTGGAATTGCATTAGTTCGACATGTGACCGGCATTATTCGCACTCACTCGATGAAGGAGTAGCCCACCAGGCGGCCGGCATGCGAGAAGAACGCAATGATAATCAGGTTAACGTGGCCAAAGATGCGTGTGATTTTCTCCGCTCCGTAAAGGAAAGGTATACTGCTCACAGTGCCCACAGTAATGGTGATACCTGGTCAAAAAAAATCATAAAATACATACAATTTTGGGAAAATAATGGTAGTGCTACTCAACTCACCCAACAAATAGTTAGGAGCACCCAATTCTTTAAGATACAGAAACAGAAAACTTTCTATGAAGCCCCAGAAGTTTCCGAGAACAAACAAGAATATAATAAAGGCAATGACATGAGGCATCTTCAGAAGGTTCCACAGGTCTCTGAATACATTATCCGCCGGCAGTTTCTCTCCCAGCGGCATCATTAGCACCGACATGGTGGATATCACCAGCAGGACATCGTACGTATAGAAGGCAGCCGAGTAATCCGTATAGCCCAGGCCCCGCGAAGAGTAATCTATCATAATGCCAGTTATCGGGGAAAATATAGCCATGCCGATACTGGAGAATAAACGTTCACGACCAAAATCACCGCCATACTTTTCAATCATGGTCAGGGCAATGGGATCCATGATGGTGACTCCGGCCGACAGCATGGTGGTGGCCAAGAATCTAAGGAATAAATTCTAAATAAAATATATGTTACTATACCCAATTACTTACCTCAACAGAAAGTAAACCCAGAAAATAATCTCATCGGTTTCCTTGTAGTCCGGTGGACAGATTTCCGGAGCATTCATGGTGAAGGTGCAACGCTGCATCATGCACTTGACTGCCCCCGGCCCGGCATTCGATATATTCGTCCTTCTGACCAAGCCACCGCATCTGAGATCAAGATCGTCCATGTCGGTGAGATTTATGTAGCCCTTGACCAAGTTATCCTGACCGAATCGCTGAAGGATATCCGTGACTGTTTCGTTGGCATCCTGTTCGATTTCCATACCCAATTGCTCCGTGGGATCGGCCAGATCAGGATGCATTTGCAACATAAAGTATGTGGCATCATCATTGTCGGAGTGCACCCAACTGCTGCTTGTCTCATTTTGTGTTTTGGTGGCATCTGTGGTAACTGTCGAGGAAATATTAGTAATTTTTGGGAAAGAGTTGGCGATTCCCTTAAAGTCAAAAAAAAGCCTCGTGTCTTACAGATTTTTCTTAGCCTACTCCATGGTCTAATAGTACTACTATTCTGACTATCCTGGCTATCTTGGTTTTACAATTTCCATTTGCAAAAAAACCCTTTTTCCAACTCTATTCCCCGCTGTGCAGTCGTTAGATTTTCACATAATCAGACAGTCAGGAAAATTGCTCTAGCTCTTGCAATGCACTTTTCTTTCTGCACCCCTGAGGCGCAGGGAATCTGAATCTGATTTTGATTCCTATTCCAAGTCCGAGTCCGGGTAGTATCCTGCACTCAGCGTCCCGCTTCCCGTGTCCTGGCCATGCATGACCAATTTCCAATTGTGCCAAGTGTCAAGTGTACAGCCGAGTGTAATGCCATCATGTTTAGTTAGTTATGCACTTTTGTCTGTTGCTGTTGTGCTATTACGGGGGCCCCTTTTTTTTTGGGGGGGGATAGGAAAGGAATTCCCAACACATTGTGTTTTCTGGCCAGGACATTAGCAAAGTTTCCGACTCTTCCGGACTCTCCGTGTCAGTGAAATGGGCAATGGTGGTGGCAAAGTTTGGCCAACAACTGATGTACATACACATATGACTTATGAGTAGGACATGATTTAGGTTTTGAGTCCTTTTTTTGAGTTGGCGTTTGGGGAATGATGACTGCTCTTATAGAAACAAATGGCTGGAGCCTAAAACATGTTGATTGATCGATTGCAAAAGGAGAACTTCGCACTTGGATAAATCCCAAAAAATATTTTCTAGACTCTAGAGGGAGAATTTGTTAAAAAAAGTGCTCTAAAGTTTAGGTACATCATTCACCTTAGCAACAGCTGCGCCAGTCATCGGACAACGCACCGTTTACTCTTAGATATTCTCCACAAAATAAGTGGAAAAAAGGAGCACTTTACTTTATTTTTATTCTATTCTAAATCTTAAGACGCTACCAGGTACTACAAACTTGTCGCCCACTTTTAATAATGTGGAATAAAAACGCCTTTTCAGAAGTTTCTCCCCGGGAATACGAAAAAAGTTTGTCCCCTAAACTTTGGCTTCCCACAAAACGTCAGGCTTTAATGACAACCATCGGACTCGGACAGGTTGAATTATACTTATATATATATTTTTTTTTAGTTTCATAGAGAGGCGAACCGGAGCCGGTCTTTTGCTTTTATGGTACAAGTTGTTCTCGACTTGGACTCCAGGTTCCTTCCACTCTGGCCCCTGGTAGCAGTTCACAAAAGACGGAAAACAAACTAATAAAAGTAAAACACACACGGACAGGGGAAAGAACATGGACACAGACACGGACACGGACAAGGATACGGACAACCTAGGATGGAGGAGGATGGTGGACATCAATAAGGAGTCGGGGCAGGGAGCAGAAGAACATTGCAAGTAAACTGACTGAAAGAACAAAGGCAGCAACTAGAAGCAAGTTGCAATGATGCACCTGGAGAATAATGTTTAAGAACTTAACTTAGAAATTATAAAAAATCGAAACAAAAACTTCAATCCTAAAAAACCTTATGATTTTCCAAACATTTCCCTTTAAAATATTTCAAATTCCAAGTGGAAACGAAAATAGCGATGATACTAACGCTGTGGTCAGCCAGCCGGACATGGAAGGGTTCAGTTCATCACGTCACTTACAATTCAATCCCTGCATGGACAAGGCTGACAGCTCGGCTGATGATGACTGCCCCGGCACCAGCCCCAGCCCCAGTCCTAGATCCTGGTCCGTGCCCTTGTCCAGGGGCTGTTCCTTCAGTTGGGACATTGGCGGGAACATGGTCGATGACATATTAAGTACTTCTTGGTATCTGCTCCTCGTTTGCGTTGCGAATAATGCTGGCAATGATGACGCCGGCGATGTGGTGGTCGATGTGGCCGGGGGTTGTGATGTACTCGATTCCATGCCCACCACTGCACCACTCGTTGTGGTTGCCATTGTGGTGGTTGTGCTGGATGGGGCGGACCTGGGGGTGCTGCTTGGTGGTGGGGCATAGGGGGAAGTACTCGTGTAAAGCTGCGGATTAACTTGCTCCTGCATCAAACAATAGTCGACGCACTGGTGCACGGCCAATTCCAGCTCTGGTTCCTCGGGACATTCTCTGCTCGGGCATGGAGACCACCAAACCTGGTCAAAAGAACAAAAAAAAAAACAATAGAATTTATTGGAAATTAGAAATGGAGAAAAAGGATTTGTGCAAGCAAAAAGATGGTTAACACAAAAGCTTCAAATATCCTTGAGCATTTGCAGGGATTTTGTATATCGATTGTATTTGGAAAAATGTAACATCCTTTCATGGGATTATGGCTTAAAAATTGTTTCAACTTTAAACAATCTGGCAAGATATTCAGTCCCAAAAAAAATATCCATCAAGTTAGCCTTGGAAATTGAAAAAATTAAAACCTTTTACCAATAGGCCCTGTAATTTAGTGTCACAGGATTCGTCTATAGCTGAACACAGTCTACATTTGGGTGGTAATACAATAGGAATAGGTGATTTTAGCTTGAAAAAATATTCTAGTTTAAAAGTACAAAGAGGTAAAAAATTAGTAATAGCAGCACTATGTCATCCTTGCCGAGCAAGACCTGGAGCATCCAGTTGCGCGAGTTGGCCACTTCGCCGATCACCATTATAGCCATGACTTGCGTTCTTGGTTATGTCGTCTACATGAAGACTCGCCGCCAGCACGGAACCTACGACGATGAGGACTATGAGGCCGCTGGACTTATCAAGAAGACGAAGGCACCTGTCATGGGTCTACGCATGACCCGCAAGGAGCTGGCCAAGTTCGGCAGCGAGAATGAAGATGGCATATACCTGGTGGCGCTCAACGACGTCATCTATGATGTGTCCATGTCAATGGACTTTGGGGCAGGCGGAAAGTATTGCAAGATGGCCGGAACCGAGCTGACCCTCTTCACCGAGAGACTCGCCTACTGGGATGGACGCGATGAAAAGTCTGTTTATAATGAGTGGAAGACTAAGCTGGAAGATTTTTTCGAGGTGGCTGGAACCCTGATTGATCCGGAAACCAAATCAAATGACAAGATCAAAGATGAGAAAAAGCAGCCAGAAGATAAAAAAGATGAAGAACACGAGAAAGAAAATAAAGACACTAAGACAGACGACGAGAAGCCTACTAAGGCTGAGAATGCTATTGAGGATGAGAATCCTGTTGAGAAGAAGTTGGACCCTGTTCCAGAGGAGAAGTTAGACGAGTCCGGAGATAAAGCAAACTTGGAGACTGAGAAGCCGAAAGTCGAGGCCCCCAAGCTGGAGATTGAGATTCCCGAGCTGTCCCTCATGGACCTGCCTCCTTTCGAAGAGGGAATTAATTCCGATTGCGATTCCCTGCGCACCGCCTACGATTTTCTGCCTGACCAGGACGATCGTGATGAAGAAACTGACGGCACCGAGGGTGACTACTGTGAAGCCCACCAGGGTGATACCACTTCCGAGAATACCGTGGACACCGAGGACACCGACGACAATCCCGTTACTGATGGGGCCTCAGACGCTGCAGAAGCAGAGGTGTCCATCCATCCCGATATTATGTGGAACGATGCCGACGCCACCGTGGTGGCCACCCGTTAAATCACCCAAAATCTCCAACTCACAACGCTCCATTGAAATCCAGACGAAAGTGGCACTTAACCCATCATAAGCCACATATATGAACTTAAGCCCTTAGTCATAATAACACCAACATAAATAAATATATCTCTTGGGTTGAATGTGTATCTGCATTTGCAGCGGCTACACAAAAAGACAAATACCATATGTACTTAAATATCGATTCTAAAATAAGTCAGATATAGTACGTCAAAACAATAAAGTTAGAACATTAGTGGAAAATGATTTCCCATCGATCATAATTTGTATATATATTATTTCTGGATCCTTCCAACCACAGATTTCTCACACTGCACTTTTGTTGGTTGTGCGTTCGTGTTTCTGCATATATCCGTTGCCAATTTTAATGTGAATTCAATAAGGCTCATCCAAGGGTTGCAAGGACCTGATTGGGTGGGTGGAAGGATGGTGGAAGGGCGGCAGTGTCAGGGTGAACGCCTGCAATAATAAAATGGTAATTTCCGTTTGCTGCTGCCATCGATACGAAATAAATTTATGCCAAACGGCAAACCGAACTCGGCTCTCTATAATGGCATAAAATAGTAAACCGCAAGCAACAGGACATGGCAACTGGAACAGGTCCTGGAACAGGAAAATGGGAAACTGGGGAACAGGACATTCTACATGCTACGAGAATGGAGATGTCCGGCGGAACGTGCGGCGTGAGCACAAATGTAGCCATAAGATGCGTTTCCAGGCCCTTGTGGCACTATACAATTGTGCTACAAAACAATAGGGTAGTAGCGACTACTTTTACTTTTTATATTTAAGGATTAAATATTTTATTAAATTTTTTTAAAAGCTTGTAATCATTTTCTAAAAAGTATAGAAGTAGCTAGCAATTATGTTTTTCTTAAAAGTAAACCTTCCGCCCTTCAAGGACTTTGTACAATTTTCTTTAACAAGTTAGTCCTTTTTTAAGTCACATAGAGCATTTAACCTTCGTCTAGTCACTTTCTGTGTTTTTCCTTTTTGCTGCAGCTATTTTAATGGTGTTATTGTATTTTATGGGAACATCATAAATACAAATTCAATATACGCCCGTGCCAAGTGCCGAACAAATGGAAGGGAATGCGTGAGTGTGTGGATGTGTGTGCGTGTGTCTGTGAGATATATTCGTGAAATGCTGGGGCACCTTTTTGGCCAAGGGCCACAGACCACGCCCCCTCCTCCATCGCCTCCATTACGGACGCCACCGGCTAACAAAATCCAATCCCGGCCCTTACGCCTCCCGAAAATAACAGTTCCATTGCGTTTCATTACGACTAACGGCAATGGCCTGTGAGTGTGAGCACAAGAAAGATTTTAATGTGAGTGTGTTAGTGTGTGATGTCCTGCCTATGTGTGTGCGGGTGAGTGGTGTGCATTTGTGTTGGTGTTTTAGTGTAGCTTAAGTGCTGGCGAAACGACACTAAGATAAATGTACGTGATACACACATGCAAGGACACTCGCACTCGAAGAAACCACCCGAAAATACCCCTAAGATATTACGGATAATAGGTTTTATTTATGAAAAGTATGGGCTTTACTTATATTCAAATAATTTGATATAAATCAGCTTCTTTGTTCGGGGGTTCTATATTGCTTCTGCGATAATTGAATCTGGATTATCCCAATAATGGCAATTATTTATATTTTTATTAAAAAGCTTATGACTATTTTATTTCGATTTTAATAGAAAACATATCCTTTAATATGTCTGTATGGAGAAAAGATAATTATTAGAACAAGATTATTATATCTATAAATTTACAAAACAAATATCCTGTCCTACCCAACTACCTTTTTTCGAAGAGTGCTTGTAAACCTGATGTGCACTCGCCCTTAAGTGGATTTTTCACCTGTTTTTCTAAGGAGGAGGGAAAAATATTGTTGTGAAGCTGTTGGGAAGAACCACCGAATCTCTCTTGTCCTAGAAAATCTTGTAGTTGGTTTTGGTGAGCTGTTTCTAATGCGTTCCGTTCACTTGTTGGCTGTCAAGAACGCCTCGCTCTGCTTCTGTCATTTTCTATTTTCCATTTTCTATTTTCCATTTGAATTTGTTTAGCCCCAGCTCGCACTCAATCGGTGGATGGGAGGACCCTTAACCATAATATCCTTGCAATGCAGTTGTTTGTCTGTCCCCATGTCCATAATTCGATTTATGTAAAACTCTTGTAGTCTGCGTAGTCTAGTACTTTGCCAACTGCTGCTTCTGCTGCTGCTGCAATTTACTGGCAGAAGGACTCTCCTTAAGAGCGGCTTGTGTCCGAATGCAATTGCCAAAAGGTGTGAGACTGACTCCATGGAGAATGCAATTTCAAGGGGATTGAACAGAGAGCTGAACAGTTGGAGCACCGTGAGCTAAGTCCTCTACATACGTACATAAATATCACCCCAAATTCTCTTCTTCTGGCAGCCATAAAGCATGTACTCAAATTTGTTATGCCACATCTGACCAGCTTAGACGGAAAAGCCAAAGGACGACCCAAAGGACACGCCGTAACAGCCAACAGTCTGACTCAAAGTCAGAGTCGTTTGCATTGATATGATCATAAGCATAAAACGTACATATTCTCAATATATGTATATATCGATATCAATAAAAAGAAAACGCTGAGGGAAATCAGAGAAATTCCGATTGGTACAACAAATTTCCTTGAACCATGACGCCCTCCGCCCTTTCGGATGGCTTGACATTTATTTGCTTTATTTCGATGATTTTACATGACGCAAATTTATGCACAAATGCAGATATAGAACCAGGACGAGGACCAGGACCAGCGCCAGCACCAGAGGCATCGCCAGTACCTGAACCGAAACCAACGGCAAAGTGAACAAAAAATAAAATGGGAAAAAAACGGAAGGACGTTTTCATCTGCATTGGCAGGGTGACAAAAAACAGTATGCACTTCAAAAATATTTTGGTATAAATATTGAAATATTTAAAAAACTCCTTTTTTCAGATTTTTCGTCCATTTTTCGTGATGGGATCCCTTGAAAATGGGGTTTTCCCCTATAGGGCCCACAGTGATGGGTATATCTTACCCAATTCTCATCCGATTCTCAAGCGGAGTACCTTAAACGATTTCTGGATCGATTCTCCACCATTCTGCATCAAAATCCTGAGACAAAATATTTTTCAAATTTTTTGTCCATTTTTCGTGATGGGATCCCTTGAAAATGGGGTTTTCCCCTATAGGGCCCACAGTGATGGGTATATCTTACCCAATTCTCATCCGATTCTCAAGCGGAGTACCTTAAACGATTTCTGGATCGATTCTCCACCATTCTGCATCAAAATCCTGAGACAAAATATTTTTCAAATTTTTTGTCCATTTTTCGTGATGGGATCCCTTGAAAATGGGGTTTTCCCCTATAGGGCCCACAGTGATGGGTATATCTTACCCAATTCTCATCCGATTCTCAAGCGGAGTACCTTAAACGATTTCTGGATCGATTCTCCACCATTCTGCATCAAAATCCTGAGACAAAATATTTTTCAAATTTTTTGTCCATTTTTCGTGATGGGATCCCTTGAAAATGGGGTTTTCCCCTATAGGGCCCACAGTGATGGGTATATCTTCCCCAATTCTTATCCGATTCTCAAGCGGAGTACCTTAAACGATTTCTAGATCGATTCGCCACGATTCTGCATCAAAATCTTCAGACAAAATATTTTTTAGATTTTTTTGTATATTTTTCGTGATGGGATCCCTTGAAAATGGCGTTTTCCCCTATAGATGCGGTTTTCCCCTGTGGGGCCCACAGTGATGGCTATATCTTCCCCAATTCTCATCCGATTCTCAAGCGGAGTGCCTTAAACGATTTCTAGATCGGTTCGCCACCATTCTGCATCAAAATCCTGAGACAAAATATTTTTTAGATTTTTCGTCCATTTTTCGTGATGGGATCCCTTGAAAATGGCGTTTTCCCCTATAGATGCGGTTTTCCCCTGTGGGGCCCACAGTGATGGCTATATCTTCCCCAATTCTCATCCGATTATCAAGCGGAGTACCTTAAACGATTTCTAGAACGATTCTCCACCATTCTGCATCAGAATCCTGCGACAAAATATTTTTCAAAAATTTTGTCCATTTTTCGTGATGGGATCCCTTGAAAATGGGGTTTTTCCCTATAGGGCCCACAGTGATGGGTATATCTTCCCCAATTCTCATCCGATTCTCAAGCGGAGTACCTTAAACGATTTCTGGATCGATTCGCCACCATTCTGCATCAAAATCCTGAGACAAAATATTTTTTAGATTTTTTGTCCATTTTTCATGATGGGAAAAATGAAAATGGCGTTTTCCCCTATAGGGCCCACAGTGATGGGTATATCTTCCCCAATTCTTACCCGATTCTCAAGCGGAGTACCTTAAACGATTTCTAGAACGATTCTCCACCATTCTGCATCAAAATCCTGAGACAAAATATTTTTCAAATTTTTCGTCAATTTTTCGTGATGGGATCACTTGAAATTGGGGTTTTCCCCTATAGGGCCCACAGCTATGGCTATATCTTCCCCAATTCTCATCCGATTCTCAAGCGGAGTACCTTAAATGATTTATGGATCGATTCTCCACCATTCTGCATCAAAATCCTGAGACAAAATATTTTTTCAATTTTTTGTCCATTTTTCGTGATGGGATCCCTTAAAAATGGGGTTTTCCCCTATAGGGCCCACAGCTTTGGGTATATCTTCCCCAATTCTCATCCGATTCTCAAGCGGAGTACCTTAAACGATTTATGGATCGATTCTCCATCATTCTGCATCAGAATCCTGAGACAAAATATTTTTCAAATTTTTCGTCAATTTTTCGTGATGGGTTCACTTGAAAATGTGGTTTTCCCCTATACGGTCCACAGTGATGGGTATATCTTAAATTCTAATGAAAGTTGGTATGTCGTATTATTTTGGCAAAAATATAATTTATACAAAATCCGAACTCTCTAACTGTAATACCGTAGTTATGGGATATCTGAGATCTATTTAAATTCTTCTTAGTTATGGCATGTTCGATCAATCAGGTATATGACAGTTATAGAATATATTCGGCCGATCCCGGCCTTTCTGACTTATAATAATAATAATCGTTCTTTGTATAGCTGTGTTAACCCTATCATTCAAGTGTAGCTGTGTTAACTCTATCATTAGCATTTTTTTTTAAATTGGCAAAAAAACAAGTAGGCCATGACTTCTGTTCGGTTTCGTTTTCTATAAAAGGCGAGCATTTCCACATTCCTATTCAGTTTCCTTAGAGGAAACTTTATACCTAAAATTAAAAAAAATTAAATTAAATTTCCTTCCTACCTAAAATTAAAACTCCTAAAGATTTTCTCTCAGTTAAAAATGCACACTGCAGGCACAGGCCGCATTCACTGCGTATACGTTATATCGGTGTGTATGCTGTCAGATTGTGTATCCGCCCCGTGTGCGTTTGTGTGTGCGCCAGCATGTGGCATGCTGCTGGGAGCTCAGAAATCGGCAGGAAGTGGCTGCACAGGGGATTTCGACGCGTTTCCCTCGCAAAATCGCGCAACGCGGCAACGTGCCACGCATTAGATACACACTCCAACAGCACAACCACCTCCACACCCATACCCACATCCTTATCCGCATCCTTCCCAACTCACAGATACACATGCAGCTGGATAGTTGGGTGGTGTGTGTGCGTGTTTTTGTACGTGCGTAAAGTGTGCTGGTAGAAGCGTGTTGCATGTGGCAACATTATGTTGCCGTTGCCACGAATAAATGCCGGCTTTTATGTAGTTTGCACCTGCCACAGCCCCTTAGCCGAGGCCCTCCTCAGAAATAGAGACATGCCGTGACTGTGAAGTGATGCCATTGTGAAAAGTGGGAACGAGGAGCTTAAAAGGAGCTTCGAATGGCTGAGAGGATGCCGAAGATTTTTGGTAGTTCGCTTTCAAACGTCGCCTCTTTTCAGGGAACAATTTAAAAAAAAAAAAGGAAAAACTTTCTAGTTTATTTTCCTGCTGCTGCAAAAATTCAGTCGTGAAGGCAATTTATTTCAAGAACCCGGTAGCCAAATGAATATTTTGTATAATGGCCATTAATTATGGCATTAATGATTTATTTTATCTATTTTGTTTAATAACCATTCAAACAAATAAAATTATATAAAGAGCCACAATTAAGACTATAATTAATACCCATTTAAAACATTCACATTTGCTATAAATAATAATAAATAAAGAGTTTAATATCCTTAATATGCTTATTTCTTTTGTGGAAAAAATGAGTCAGAGTAGACTGTTAAATTTTACATTTTAATTGAAGGTAATTTGAAACAATTTCAGCTCATGAGAATAATTAGCAGAGAGCTCTAATCAGACTCCTTCACAGTCGACCAGTTAACTTTGCTCACAATGCAGTTAAAGTCATTGAAAAAGTAGCAAAAACTATATATGTACATGTGTATGTATGTATGCATCTGCAGAAGTGGGAAGAAGGACGAAGGATGCACACAGAGTAACCGTGAAGTAAGCGCATTAAAACAGTACAAGAGCAACAGCTGTTTCCCAGCAGCAAACGCATCCTGCAACTTTCTCTGCAGAATGGAGTTTCGGATGATGGGGGTGGCCGGAATGGAGGTGGTGTGGAAACCGCAGCCACATCATTTTTAGCTCTTAACTAAACAAGCGTCTAAAGATATTTGCCCACGCACCTCAACCACAACGCTCTAAGCAGATTACAGCCTTCGACAAACATTAAACTAGATTGAATCGAAGTTGGATGTGTTTTAAACGATTGAAGCTGAAAATTCTTAGGGGATTAAAGAGAGAACTGAACATTTTGGTCTAAAGAATAGAATTTAAAGACTTTAAAATAAACTATATCTAAAGCACAAAACTTTCACCTAACTCTCCTATGATTAGTTATTATTTTTCCATATTAATTTTTATCAAAAAATTTAGTTCAGTGTTACAAAACTTACCTCAATATCGCCGCTATCTGGATGTCTCAATACGAACGCCGAGGGCACCACGCCCGGAATCTCCTGCTGCGGTATAAAGAGCAGCGAGTGATGGAAAATCGCATTCAGCAGCAGACTCATCACAACGACCGGTTTGTATTTGCCAAATTTGTCAACGAGGAAACCTGCAGGGAGCAATCGAAAATCGGGTGGGGTTTGAAAATCGGTTGGGGGAGAATGTAAGTGAAATTGCAGCAAGATGTTTTGCAACTGCATCAGTGGTTAAATGTGGCTAGAGGCAAGCGACTGTATTTTTCACTCAAAATAAGTTGTCTACGATTTGGGGCTTTGATTGGGGCTTCACTCCAGCTTAAATTCAGTTTAAGATGGATTTTGTGGCACTGATGGTAAAAGGTAAAAGGCAATTTCCTCCTTTTCGATTTTAAATATTTAAATTTTCTCTTTTATTTGCAAACATTTGAAATACAAGTTTTTATCACTCCCATTTCAGTAGAATCCTTTTGATTTTTATTGCTCTTCCACTTGGTGTGTTCAATGACTATCAACCATGTTTATAACGCTAGTAGAATGATCAAAATTTTGATGTCGCAACTTTACGAGAACGTTTTCACTTAGCCTGACATTTTATATATATTTCCCCCCCATAGCTTTTATGTCCAACAATTTGACCAGCTTTATGCACTTTTCTCTACTCGTCCTGCCATGTCCTGGCACGCTTTTTGTTTCACTTTTAGTGCATTTCGAGGAACGGTTATCTGCAGCCCGTGGTGTTCACATAAAATGTATAAAAACCTTCGCTGTCGCCAACATTCCATACCGCAAATGCATTTTAAAAATGCGAAAGCAAATAATAAGAATGGGTTTTTAAAAAAAAAAAAAGAGGCGGTGGACAAAAAGAAAGAAATGCAACCGCATGATGGGGGCACTTCACATACAGACAGTCAAAGGAGAAAAACAAGAACTTTGTTTAATTGTCATTTAAACTGCAACTGAATTAAATTATTCACACTCGTCCGGAAAAGTGGCTGGGAGAAAATATAAAAAACAAATATATAAAATACTATATACATTTAAATAAAAGTTGAAAAAATTCCATTCGGTCGACACAAAATCAGAAAGAGTTGGAAAGTATGGGGTGATTTTAGTTTATTGTTTGGGAAAAACTATTGTGGTTTTATTTAGTATAAAATTGAAGCAATAACTGCTTTAATTTAAAACTTAAATCATTGTTAAATCAAAGCATAAGATGAACAAAATTTGACTTTTGTTTTCTGGTCTCCATTTTCATGCCTGACTGGCCGAACAAAGCAAAACTTTTAATTGAAATCTATGCAGCTCGTAGCTAATTAAGATGAATTAAAATGATTTTTCCCTTGACCCCTTGTCAGACCCCGTTACTCACCTGTTATGGGCGGGCTAAGAAATGTGGTGAAGGGCAGGGCCAGGTAGATAATTGCAATCTCCTCCACCGTGAGGCCAATCGACTGCATATGAATCGTCAGGTAGGGCAGTAGGGAGGAAGTCGCTGCAAAATGACAAAGAAGAACAGATTATTGTGCGAGTTATTGAGAATTGGAGAGGAGAACTTAATTATCGGCAGGAACTATGGAGATGGGGGAAAATCACTTCAATCAAATGATGGAATTTCGTGTTAATCACGCTGGTGGAAGGAAATTAAATATCAATACGGGTGACGGATGAAGGTAAATCAATTGTCTAGCTAGAATCTATATCATTTTTAATTGCTTTTCCATGTCTCATAGAATTTCTTTATGGGTTCACCTTGCGTATACGTTATTTTCCGACAAATTTTAAAGTAAAAGTATATTTTAAAGAGCTTTACAATCGACCCGACCGACATGGCTGTGGGGAAACAAGAATCGAAAATGGGCCGTAGATAATCGTCCCTTGAATTTCAATAATTTATGGGCATTAACGCACCGAACACGCGTCACGTGGCTGCAGTCAAAAATCCACGAGAAGGGAGCAGGAGTCGAGGAGTAAAAATCGTGGCGATGATGGTGGAAAATAAAATGGCAACAAATTGGTCGAAACGGAACAGGAAGATGTTACGCCTTCCTCTCGGCCATTCTCTGCCGTTGTTGGCCCGATTTTCGTGGACAGCCTTGACCAATTTAAATGCAAACACGCCAAGGAAACCATCGAGCACGTAAAATGGGTAAGAGTGCGTGTCCTGAATGAAATTCGTTTGTTTTAAAGTGCAGTTAACACACAAGGCCTATCTGGGAAACTGGCCAAAAGGGCCATTTTTTACCGTTCAGGAACAGGCATCGCCTCAGATAATTAACAATAATACGCTCCCCATGTGTGTGTGGGATTGTTTGTATTTGCTGAATGCAATAACAATTAATTGCTCGTATTGCCGCCGCTGCCTCTCGTTCTTCCGGAAACGGAAACGCAACCATGTCAGGGTTGTTTGGCTTGCCGGCCTTTCATGTTCGTTCTCGTTTGAATTCTCTCGACTGGCGCTGTAAAGTTACCACTCAGTCAGTACCAGATGGGGGATCTTCTGTTCCTGCCACGTTGTCATTCGTAATTAATGTCCCGGAGCCACCAGCTCCCTCTCCCGCATCTTTTGTCAATTTAAATTTCTTTTTTTTTTGCCAGGCGCCACTTTAATAATAATTATTCCGTTTATACGTTCGCTTGTCGCATGCGACATTTTCAGCTATGCACAAAGTTTTTGGTAGCACCCAGTCTATGCCCGTGCCCCTCGTCTATGGAATTTGCATCTGTTTGACTGACACTGCCACTATATTGCACTTTATTTATGAATATTTGAGAAGAAACGCCAGACTGACAGAGCAGGCCATGACAAATGCAGCCATATTCAGCAAAAATATTAATTGCAATTCATTTTTTTCTGCTTTATTGTTATTAGAGGGTTTTCACCAGCACAGGGCATAAAAAATTGCCATCCGAATGTTATTAGATATTCACAAAAAGAACATGCACTTCGCCACTTTAATTTAATTCTGTCAGCTTCAAAGTGCTCTCTATGAAATCACTGCATTTTATTTCTTATTCATTTCGTTTAACTCGAATTAATTATGTATTATAATGTAAAACAAAGAGCGTTAATTACGAAGCTTAAAAAATAAAGAATCACAAAAATGAAAAAGTAAATTGATTAAAACGAAAGCGTATTGCAGGAATAATTGAAATGGATTAATTAACAAACAAGGGCTTTATCAGAGGCAAGGAATACATATTTTATAAATTTGATTATAGTACACATTTTTTTGAAACGATAGACCATTTCTTTAGCCAATTAAATATATTATATGAACATTTATGTTATAGACTAATTAAATTATTATTTGAACTTTTCACTGCCCAAAAAAGCCAAGAAGAGTATAAATAAAATGCCGAAAAGGAATCCTCGGCTCAGCTTGACTCAAATAAAAAACGCATTAATACTCATTTTAGTGACAATTTGAGTTTAATGGCATAAGACAACAAACAAGTGGGCAACGGGTATACTAGGGAGGGGGCAACAAAATCTTTTTGCCATTGACCGCCAGCAAAAAGCGAAAATGGCGCACGGTCAGAAGATACAGATACAAATAAAAACACTGACACAGATACAGATACATCGACATGCTTACTCTCTCTGATACAGATGCCCGTCCAAGGCAAATCAAAGTAAACCTTTCTCAAGCTTAAATCACATAAGCTAGATTTATTTACAAAAGCCATACACACACGCAGATACAAGGAGAAGAAAATTTCGGAAGGCGGGGAAGGAAGGTTGGGTCTTATGAATGCTTAATTGCCACACGCTGGGAAAATCTGCTCAATGTGCATCAGACTCTAACTGAATTTATACAAATGTGTTACATATTTTCCTCAGCCTAATTGATAACTTCCGACCAGCCCCAGTCCCCCATATTTTGGACCTGATTTCCACAGAGTGTGATAATGAATTCAGATTCACTGTCAGTCCGGGCAACGAGTTTTCTTGGTCTTTTTCCAGCAGAGTTTCCTTTCAAAAATGTAATATTTATACATTTAAAAAATCAAAATCATTCTTCAATCAAAGTTATCTGGCCCTGGGTTATCTTGAGCTGGAAACAACAGGTCGTATGCGTGATATATTTATCTATAACAACGATGGCTCAGCAATGTCAATAACTTGGCCATTACATTTAGGCCATTCAGGTCAAGATAAGAGCTACATCTAATTGGTTTTTAATGTGATTTTTATACAATTTGATTATGTATGGATTACTCACCGCCATACATCACGAAAAGTGTTATTTTCAGCATGATCAGGTTAGGATTAATTCCATGGCGCTGGCAGAACTCCCCGAAACGCGATAGTTCGACCTTTTCGGCTTTTATTGGCTCTGTGGCCATTTCCTCGTTGACCATTTTACCCATTTTAACCGCTTTTTGTTGACAGTTTTGATGTTCGATTCAATGAAAAGCGGCCAACGGCCAACGATCTAGGGTTTCTCGGTCAAAACACGCACACACACCCACTCGAACACAGACACAAAGCACTCACACTAATACATGACGAGACACTCAAAATTAAATCTCCCGCTTAGTTAGCTTTTTACGATTTCTCTCTTTTTGTGGGATTTTGATTAAATTCAATTGAAATTTGTGATCATCAAGACGAACTAAGCCAGTTCTTGCTGCTGTTTGTAATATATTTTCATATTCCTTTGTATATCATATGGCACATGTAGTTTACTTAGAATTTACTTTAATATTTATTTTTATTTTTTGAATGCAGTTTTCAAGGTTCTTCTCCACTTCAGGCCAGGCACTTGTACTTTTTGTTATATTTTTTCTGTCCAATCTATTATTTTGTGTGATTATCCGTTTGATTATTTTTATCGCATGAACTTTCCCAGTCGCCGTTCGCTTTGTGACTGAGCTGAGGAAAAATGAAAATCTCTTATCAACCCCCTGAGATATATCTCGAGATCTCAGCTATATCTGCGCCCACACTCACACCCGCCCCGAAAAGATGATCATTATGATGATGCTGATTCTAACTTAAATTGGTGGCGGTGTCTGTGTTGGTGCCAGATCTTGGACTCTACGTTGGTTATGGTGTTGTTGATGCGACAAGATCGCCGGGAGATAATGTCCCCCGTATTAGTATTTCGTGAATGGAGATAAAAAAGCCAACGAAATCTGAAATCTGAGCGACGGCTGACGTGCGACAATGTCGCGATCTCCGCCAAAGTGACTGACATTCAGTGGTTAAGAATTGCGACAGGGGGTACGGAGAATTCCGGCAGAGAAGAGACACCAGCCAGTGAAAAGATCACTCGGTAGGCCAAGGTTCATAGAAGCCCCAACTGATATAAGCTGGCAGCCAAAAAATAAATAACGAAGCATTAAAAGTATTAGTACTTTAATAAAGTAGGGTCATCTCACACTTAAACATCAGCCGTATTCAAAGGCCGAAAATAGTTCTATTTTCCACTCGAAAATTTCACCATCGATGGCCGCGAAACTCTTGAAAATATTGGCTCTAAAATATCGTTTCAAAATCACAAAAGTTCTATGCATTTCCTTAAATGGATTTTATGTCCCGAAGCTAATTTCGAAGCGCAGCAAACTGAAGCAAAGACCGAACAAACTCAACTGATTGTCATCCAACATAATTTCATTTAATTGTACCGGGAATTATAAAAAAATACAAAAAAACTGATAGTAAAAATTACATTTGATAGATAAGCAATGATGGATTTTGATTCAAAGCACGTGTTCGAGACTACCCGGCCTGACGACAGGCAAAGTTTTAATATTAATTTTTTCGCGTGTCTAGAAATTTATGCCTCAATGACCCAGCCTAACCTCTTTATAAAAATGTATGCAAATAATAAACCTTTATGTGCGGAGATTAACCGGAATAAAGCGGCATTTCCTGAAGAAAGTCCATAACTCAGTTTTGTAAGTTAAGCCAGCCAACGGATAAGATAGTGTGACTCCATCTTATGTGTCATGTGAGTGCAAAGGAAAATATTTAAGCAGTCGCGGAACAAACAGTTTTCCTAAAATAAAATAGTTCGCAGAAAACACAAATATTTGTATATATTCTGTCGAATATTTCAAGAATATTTAGGTCACCTTATGGTGCCTTAAATTATACTATTATTTGTGAAAGATGAAGATGCTGGAGATATTTTTATATTTTTAGCACGCATCTATCTGAGATGGATGTGGGATATCAGTATCAGGGACAAACACAAACATGTTGTAAAACAAAATACGTAAGCAAAGTTGTCCCAGACTTCAGGCACTCGTTTGTGTTTATTTTTTATACATATATATATTTTTTTATTCCTTTTTTTTATCAGCAGTAAGTTCAGGGCGGCCTGCAACCAGAAGCTGAAACGAAATCAGAATCAGAAGCTTGGTTATAAAAAGTGAGGAGATTGCACCAAAGAAATAACCATTTTTACATTTATTTTTAATATCACTAAAATATCGGCTCACAAAATCGAGTATCTACTCCATATTAACTTGATTGATTTTCGAAGGATCTATAACATGTCCCTGAAAATATGTGGTACTCTCGTCCTTTATTAGAAAAGCAAAGGGCCGATTGAAGGAAAACACCACCGGAGCTGACCTTTTTGTGTCCTTTTGTGCTAAAAAATATAATCAAAAGAATTATTTGAGTTCAAAAAATATAAAAATTTTACTCACAAGATGGTGGGGCACTTTGGGCCCCTTTTTCTTTTAGTTCCAGGAAGACATTTTGAAATATGTCGCCGAGCTTGGAACTTAAATTACCAAACAGGTTGAAGTCAGCCTCATTTGTAAATAACGGCCCTAGACCAAGCTACATTTTCAGAGAAAACTAATTAAAGAAATGGAAAGTATATAAAAATAATAGATATACCTCCTCAAGTCTTTCAGATATACGCAGTCTCCATCCATAGCGTAGCTTGGGCAAGGCAAGGATCGCTTCTGCGGTGTTCAAAGGTTCTGAGAAGTCGGAAATCTTTTTCTCCATTTCCCACAGGCCATCCACTTTGTTGGGTAAAAATAAAAGTAAAGACATCTGGCGACTGTGAAATGGCAGCTCCACCACAGTGGCCTGAAGGTCGGAAAAGTAGGCAGCCCGAAAGACGTTTCTCTGATGCATCATCTGTACGGGCACTGTCTTATTTTCTGAGATTTTAAAATCAGCTTGTTTTGTGTTTTTTGCATCGAATTCGTACTGCCAGGGATCTGTCAGAGTTATATTATTCTTAAACAGAGCTTTGGAGATTTCTTTGGGAAGGATTCTTTTAATGATTCGATCGTGAAATTTCCAATATGTAGTGATCTTTATCACTGGCTCTGTTCTATTTGGTACAATATTCGAGTCCGCCTTGAAATATTCCTTAACTAACGATTCATAATTCGGACTTAATGGTCGGCTTCCTTCGTAATTCACCTGATAATCCATTTTCACTTTCCCTAGCCATTTTTGATATTTTTCAGCCACTTTAATCTTGTCCTCGGAAAAGCCCAAAAGGGTTTTCAGTTTTTTCGCAGATTCACCTTCGGCTGCCATATAACACATGGCCAGAACACCCGATACAGAAAAGGGTGATACCAATAGATTTTCGTTGCGGAAATCCTTGGCAAACAATTGGTATAAATTATCAGAAAATTTATCTGCCAAAGTCGACGTGGCAGAAACTAAAATCCAATCTGGGGGGAATTCTTCTATAATAAATACAGATGGAGGAAAATTCTATGTTACTTACAAAATATGTACCTCATGATAAGTAGTTGGAAATGAACTGAGAGTCTAACATTTCTGGATTCTATAAAATATTGAACTCTAGTAATTCGATTTATCATGGTCTGAATATTTTGAACACTGCGAAAAAATACAAGCGTTAAGATTTTTTTTATTTAAAAATTGATAAGTATAGTTGATGTACTAGAAATTGATAAACTATAAGCTTATTATAATTATTCCATAATAAGTAATTATTTATTTGAAATGATCTTAAATTTAAAAAAAAATTATAAGTTTTAGGTCCAAATTTTGCATCTCAAAGTTTTAAACTTTTTAGAGGATTATCGTTAAATGGGCCGGCTTAATTAAAGTATTAAAGAAGTCTTGAATAATGCTCTTAATAATGTTATAATATAACCCAAAAATTCAAAATCCGATTGTATAATTTTAGAATTTGTAAAAAAGCTTTGATTTTATTAGCCGAGACAAGAACCAAAAAGGGTTCATGAATCCACTAAACGCGAGGTAAGACTTTTTTACCTTACAGTATTTTACTGTATTATATTTTAAACAATAAAATAAAAATTTAAAACATAAAAAAAGCTCATTTTCGATAAAAGTAAAAAGAATTAACCATTCTCAGCGTTTAAACATTTTTTATTATGATTGATTCGTCTTAAATTTGGCGCCAGACCATAATATTTATAGTGTGACCATCATCATCGTGAATTTAAGAGTCTGGCATCACTGGTTAGAATTCTAAAAATCCCTAAAAAAGAATTTTTTTTTTCTTTTGATTTTTAAATTAAATTTGGCTTCAGCTATCAAGGTAAAATTTTATAAATAAAATTCTCATCAAGAGGTAGGTATTCCTGGTTCGAATATAACAGCTGATAATAGTTACGTTGGCCACTCTATTCCCAGGCCAAATACCAACAGCCACACTAATCCTACAGTGGGCCCCAATGACGAATATCAGAAATAAAAAAATTTCTCACCTGAGCGGACGTGTGATTCTCGTCCGCGGCAACATTTTTGAAACGCGACGCGTCTTGGGGGCTGCGGTCGTCGCTCTGTATCTGTAACTAACAAACATTGGTAGTTATCTTTATGTTTGTTTGTTTCGACGGCTTTTTGGATACTCGCGTGTGTGTAATCGGAGCTCGATTCGCAAGAGCCAGACACGAGGCAGTGTACTACAGTGTTTATTGTGTTTGAAACGCAGCCAAACAAACAAAAATAATCAAAACAATGTTTGGATGATTGGCTGTCCTTTTCGCGCGCGTCTATAGGCTTTACCTTTTTAAAATAATATTCAATTAAACCAAGTGCCACGGCGATAAGTCGCAGCTATAGGGCTTTATCTGAACCCCGAAAGGCGAGATTAGATAAATAGTAGAGGGTATACCGTGCCCCGAAGAACAAGCTTCAAAGGCGGAAAAAGCAAATAAGCAAAAAAAAAAAGAAAGAAAGAAAGAAGTTCAAAGCCAACACACGGCGTCCCTCTCTCTATCAGTGTGTGTGTGTGTATATGTGAGTGTTTTTGCAAAAAATCATCAGTGTGTTAGTGAACGTGGAGAGTTGTTTTTGTTAGTGCACCTGTCTGCAGAAAAAATAACAACAAAATACTGCTAAAAAGGCAGAGAAGAAATGTGACATCTGTCTATAAGAAGGAGAACCCAATATCTAGTTGGAAAAATATTAAAAACCGCCCGAAGATATTACCACTGTCTTTACATTTGTTTATAAATTCTGGCCCGAAGAAAGCAAAAAAAAAAGAAAAAAGAACCGGTGAAAGGAAGAGAAGAGAAACAGGAACTCAAGAATCCAGTTTCCAAAGCCAATTTTTAAGGAATTTCTTCTCATTAAGGTGAGAGTCTACAGTATATGTGTGTGTTAGTGACATACTTTTAATCAATGAAATTCATGTTTTTGGAGATTGTGTTAATATTTGGGGGTTGAAGGGAAATTCCTTTGGATGCTGGATGCTGAATGCTGTTGGCCATGTGTCGAAATTTTCAGCTTTAACCTAGACACCAAAGCACTTAAGGATGGATGGGATGCCACCCCCTTTTGGGGGTGGTTTTCTGCTCTCAGCTGAGCGGCCTTGCTTTTCTCAATGTGTGTACCTATTTCGAAGGCCACTTCAGCCTAGAAAAGATAAAGATATGGTAGCTACAGATATTTAAAGCTAAAGATGCTTTTCTTGAAATATATATTTCATATTTTTAATTTTCATTTTATAAATAATATACCTTTTCAAGAGACCATTACTGCGCAGAAGCAGCCACCACAAAAAATTTGAACTTGACCCAAACACATGCATCCAAACACTTAAGATCTAGCCCCCCCTCTAGCCCCTTTACGCTCTGCTGATCTAGATAAATGCAGAGGTTTATCCAAGAGTTGCACAACTCACCCAACCACCACCCACCCACCTCAACCTCCTCCCCCCTTCTTCCGAACAAACTATAATCTTTTTTTAAAAATTCTCACATGAAATAAATCAAAGCAACAACTTGGACACGTTTCTGTCGTGTCCAGAAAGAGATGACTGGAGAGAGTGTGATAGAGACGAGGAATCGGCATCATCCTCTTCTTCTTCTTTCCTCATTAATCACAATGACTAATTTGTAAGGTTTTTTTCCCTTATACGTGGGGCTTTTCTGTGGTGTTTTCATTTTAAAGCTGCCGAGCCGACAATGGCGGTCAGTTTAAGCTCATTAAAGTTACCCAAGGGTTCAAAATAAATTGTAGAGGGAATACGAGCTACTCACAAAAAGAAAGAGATGACTGTCTTTAAAAGAAAAGGAGAGAGAATACAGGGGAGCTATAATAGTATCTTATATATTTCATAAAATATAGTACCTCTTGAGATCCCCAATAGAATAAGAATCTGAATATCGAATATAATTTTCCAAATCTGAAAACCACAATTTAGAGATATGAAATAGGAAGAAAGGTCCTCAAAAGACTCGTATTATTTTATACACTTTATCCACTATACTAGATCCACTATAAGACAATCCTATCCACTTCCATACCATTAATATCCTATCCATCCTTTAAAAAATAAAGTAAAACTCAGGATCTGTTCAGAATAAGAATCTAAATACCGGATATTATTTTCAAGATCTACAATTGAGAGATAAGGAATAGGTAGAAAGATCCTTAACATATAAGACTTGTATTTATTATTTCATAATATGTGTCAGATCTATAACAGATTAAGAATCTGTAAAACCGAATCTTATTTTCAAGATCTGAAAGAAACAGTATAAAGATGGAAAATAGGAAAAGGTAATCATAGGACTTATTTTAATTTAGACGATCCTGTATATAATCCACTATAAGACTATCATATCCACTTCCAGGGTATACTTTAAAAGAATATTTTATAAAATAGACTAAACCTCGAATCTATAACAGAATAAGAATCTTTAATACCGAATCCTGTTTTCAATGTTTTCCATTCTCAAGATCTGAAAACTCTGTTGGATTTCCAACCTTTTCCACATTTTATTTGTTTTTCTTGCTTTCCTGCTGACTGACCGGCTACCTGCTGACTTTTGTCTTTTCGTTTTGCTTCTTTGGCTTTGCTTTACTTTGCTGACTAAGACGTTTGCCGGTTGCGTTTTTACCTGGCGACAGGTGCGCATCAGTATCTCAGTATCTTTGTATCTGTATCTGTGTGTCTGCGTTCTCAGTTTTCTAGTTTTTGAATTCAGCTTGTCTCCAACGCTCGAACAATTTATCTACTGTCGTTTAAAGGAGGATCTCTCCTTTATTTTTTAAGGAGAAGAATTTCAAAAAGGAGAAGAATGAAGAAAAACACCGACCTGCTCATCTAAATGCCAATGTCATTTGAGGGACATGCGCAAGCTTCCTTTTATTTTCTTCGATTCAGTTCGTGTATCTGTGACTGTGCCAAGGGGCTCACGTATCTCATAGATGCGATATGAAAAATCTGAATATTCTTGCCGCGTCTACAGTTCTCAGTCTCTTCTCTGCGTCTTCTCTTCTCTTCTGTATCTCCATCATTGGCTCTGTACCTTTTCTTCGTTTATTGCCGTCTTTTTTATCTCAGCCGCTCTTATTGGCCTGCAACTTTAAACTGGGCCTATTAAGTAGCAGGCTGCTTGTTCCAACTAACTTTAAATGGCCTCTATTAGAGTCCAGTTGGCTGGAAATAGCCGTGGATTATTGGTTAAGGAAGGATAAGTGATAATATTAAACATAATTATTTTTAGAGACTTTTAAGAAGCCATGTATTGTGGCTTAAATCCCCAAAGAGATACAAAAAGACTCCAAATTATGGCCACTCTCGAATGTGTGTCTTGTTGCCACCTGTGTTCTCTATAACCCCTCGAAAGTCCTCCTCTTGGGGCCTACATTTTTGGATAATTTGCAATACGCGTTGCATATCCATTAAGCCGCCAGAAGTCAAGAGTTGCCACGTCCATAAAACCAGCGGCAGCAGCCAACAAAGGTGCAACATTTTTGCTGCTGCACTTTCCTGGCATTCCCCTCTGGCCCCCCTGGTGCACCCTCACAACTTGTTGTTCTGGTTGGAGTTGTCTGTCTCCTCTGGTTATACATATATGTGTGTAGAACATGCCACAGACACTTTCAAATACTCTAACCGTTGGAAGTATGACTGTGGATCTTGTGTCATTATTTTTAAACTCATAGGTTTTTTTTTAATTATTTAATATTCTTTAATAATATAAGTAACTCTTAGTCATTAAAATGATGAA